AATCAGATAACGTGTTGTATAGAATAAAAATACTGAGGTATAATAAACGTTACTAAGACACTCTGGACAGGTTGGAGTTTACAAATATAATTTTTCTGACCTCGCACTGAAATACGTGACAGCATTTGTAAAAGCGTAAAATTCACTGTCGTATGAGTGTTTGAAATACAAAATTCCTAGAAAAATGACGGAGATATGACCATTTAAATTAATTCACCATATTCCTCTTAGTTACCATTCAACCCGTATATCTAACAGATGGTGGAAAAGAGTTTTAAACAGAGTAAAACACTGAAAACCGCTCAAAAATGGCTGCCAAAATGACTTATTGGTGTTGAATGGAAGTTGATCACAAGAATGGAATTTGATATTGTGTCATAGTTGTCTCTTAGATATTTGGGCTTAATGTTAACGAAGAGGAATATGGGTGAATTACTTTAAATATCTCAGTCATTTTTTAGGGAATTTTGTATTTCAGACACTCATTTGACAGGGATTTTGAGCTGAGATTTAGATGCTGTCACTTACATTTGAGTGCGAGGTCAAGGATAGTTTGCTTATAAGCTCTTACCTGTCCATAGTGCCTTAGTAACGTATATGCGAAGTGTGTCTGGAATTATTGGACTTTATACAGACTAAAGCTCGGAGCAGACAAAAACGGTAAGTATCGTGTAGGTTGAATGTGGAGCTTGGTGCATGAGATAAAAGATTTGTGTAACGATGTCCGCCATGCTGAGATAATTGAGATAAGTGAGCGTACCTCTCGCATAAGGCGATAGTTAGAAGGTGCAGATTGTGTGCCTATGTATTGCCATTATTTAGGTCATAATGGTGTTGAAATATGATTTACCCAATGCGGAAAATAGTTTTAAACAGAGTAAAACACTGAAAACCGCTCGAAAATCGATGCAAAAATGACTTTTTGGTTCTTAATGGAAATTGTATCACAACAATGAAATTTGGCAATGTAACGTCATAGTCGTCTCTTAGATATACGAACTGAATGGTATCTAAGAGGAATTTAGTGAATTACTTAAAATGGTCATTTCTCAGTCATTTTTCAAAGTATTTTGTATTTCAAAGGCTCATTTGATAGGGAATTTTACGCTCTTTCAGATGCTGTCACTTATATACGAGTTTGAGGTCAGGATATTATGTTTGTAAGCTCCAACCCTTCCAGAATGCCTTAGTAACGTATATGTTTAATGTCCGTTTCGAGAATTTTTCACTCGTATAGAGACGCCACCACTTGCCGGTGGAGGGCAGCAAATTTTGACCTCTACTCGACACTCATTGAGCAGTGAGGGATCCTTTTTGTGCCAGGATCTACTGCAACACGGGACCTCGGATTATACGATCTCATCCGAAGGACCGGTTTCAACGTCCCGCAGTGGATTCAAATCCGCGACGTAAGGATCAACTCCTTACGCTGCGTCTCTAGAGCACACGCTCTAACCACTGCGCCACACGGGCTACCCTAACGTATATGCGAAGAGTGTCTGGAAATATTTGACTGTGTACAGACTAAAGCTCGGATGTAAGGTGCATGTGGAGCTTTGTGTTTCAAATGAAAGATTTGTGTAATGATGTCTCGGCCATGCTGAGATAATTCAGATTAGAGAGCGTACCTCTCTTATAGGGCGATAGTTAGAAGGTGCAGATTGTGCCTCTGTATTGACTTTATTTAAGCCACAATGGTGTTGAAATTTGGTTTGTCCAATGGGGAAAATAGTTTTAAACAGAGTGAAACAGTGAAAACCGCTCGAAAATCGATGCCAAAATGACTTTTTGGTTCTTAATGGAAATTGTATCACAACAATGATATTTGGCAATGTAACGTCATAGTTGTCTCTTAGATATACGGGCTGATTGGTAACTAAGAGGAATATGGTGAATTTCTTTAAATTGTCATATCTCGGTCAATTTTCAAGGATTGTTTTATTTCAAACATTCATTTGACACGGAATTTTATGCTCTTTCAGATGCTGTCATAGATTTGAGTAAGAGGTCAGAGATATTATGTCTGTAAGCTCCAACCCGTTCATAGTGCCTTAGTAATTGCGAAGGGTATCTGGAAATATTAGACTGTGTACAGACTAAAGCTCGGAGCAGATAAATTTGGTAAGTATCATGTGAGGTCATGTGGATCTTGGTGTTTGATATGAAAGATTTGTGTAATGATGTCCGCTGAGATAGTTGTGATAAGTGAAATTAAGCATCTCTCGTAAAAAGCGATAGGTAGAAGGTGAAGATTGTACCTCTATATTGACGTTATTTAGGCTAAAGAGTGTTGAAATTTAGAGTTTTAAAGTGAAACACTGAAAACCGCTCGAAAATCGATGCCAAAATGACTTATTGGTGTAAGTGGAAGTTGATCACAAGAATGGAATTTGACATTGTGACGTCATAGTTGTCTCATAGATTTATTGTCTGAATGGTAACTAAGAGGAATGTGGTGAATTGCTTTAAATGGTCATATCTCAGTCAATTTTACAAGGAAATTCGTATTTCAAACACTCGTGTGACTGGGAATTTTACGCTCTTTCAGATGTTGTCACTTATATTTGAGTGAAAGTTCAGGGATATTGTTTTTTTGAGCTCCAACCCGTCCAGAGTGCCTTAGTAACGCAAATGCGAAGGGTATCTGGAAATATCGGACTGTTACAGACTTAAGCTCCCAGCAGACAAAAACGGTAAGTATCTTGTAAGGTCATGTGGATCTTGGTGCTTGAGATGAAAGATTCGTGTATTGATGTCCGCCATGCTGAGATAATTGAGATAAGTTAGCGTATCTCATATAAAGCGATAGATAGAAAGTGAAGATTGTACCTTTTTATTGACGTTATTTAGGCTAAAGGGTGTTGAAATATGGTTTATCCAATGCGGAAAAGAGTTTTAAAGAGAGTGATCAAACACCGAGAACCGTTCGAAAGTCGATGCCAATATGACTTTTTGGTGTTTAGTGGAAGTTGTTCACAACAATGTAATTTGACATTGTGACGTCATAGTCGTCTCTTATATATATACTGGCTAAATGATAGTTAAGAGAAATATGGTGAATCGCTTTAAATGGTCATATCTCAGTCAATTTTACAAGGAAATTCGTATTTCAAACACTCATTTGATAAGGAATTTTATGCTCTTTCATATGGTGTCGCTTATATTTGATTGCAAGTTCAGGGATATTTCCAAGTCTTAACTCATCCCATATCGACATTATTTTGATATTTCCAAGTCTTAACTCATCCCATATCAAGACTTATTGTTTTATTGTCACTTACTTGTCATCTTCTCAAGGCGAAGGTTTCTGATCCACAGAAAGATGTGGAGCGGAGTAGATCAGAAACCCTTGACTTAGGAAAATGCTTACTTGTAAATTTTGATAAAAAAGTTGTGTACATTCAAATGTTTACGGTATCTTTTATGTTGAGTATGCTCTGGATAAAACCAAAGTCCTCGGAATAGAATACTCTGAAGTCTCTGGTTATACCCTACATTTATAACCCAACAGGAAGTTTGTATCCCATCTAAAGTCTTAATATGTATCGAGGTAATTTTCGAGGAATAAATGAGTGGTTTACAATAAAGAAGCTCGACCAGAGACGTCTGAAACGATTTATTTGACAATAAAAAAGTCTCTTGAAGCGAACGATGTCATTTTAAAGTAGGTTAATGATTGATATATTAATAAAATACGAGCTTGAAGCGGGGGTGCCTGAAATTGAGTTAGGTACCTTGTGGATAGAAAAAGAAGGGGGTGACCCATATACGAAACAAGTGCCTGTGGTTCTAAATCTAAAAATATTTCAATCAGATGGGTGCCTTTTTTATTACAGGTTCCGGGGCCATAAAACTTAGACGAGCTCACTTTTGATCTCAGTCTCACTTTTCCACTATCAATTGATTCCTTTCGGTAAAAGTTAGACTGAGATCAAAAGTGAGCTCGTCTAAGTTTTATGGCCCCGGAGCCTGATGCCTGAGAGAAAACAAGCGTTATATGTGCCAAAGGTCTATTAAAAAATAAACATTTTAATAAAAGAAGGTGTGATTAATTTGGGTGTTGTATGACGAAAAATGGCTTCACTTTTTATAGCCCAAAAGGAAGATCAAAAATAAAACTTGAAATCAGAGAGAAAGCTGTCGTCCTATTTTTGCAAATAGAAGTAACGGCTCTAAACAAGTCTTATAAGGGTTTTCTTTTTACTGAAGAGGTTCAGCAATACATGTACATACACCCAAAGAAATGACCATCAATTGGAACTTTTATACTAAAATTTCACTTAGGAGCGTCCTAATACCGGTCACCAGGGTAATTTTCCTGTACCTGACAACGCTGCTGCAAATAAGCATTGAGGTGTAAAGGAACATTTTGAAGAAAGGAAGGTTTACAGAGCTTAGCCATCCCCTGCATTTGCTTGATCTCAGTCATTGTGAAATCTTTTTTTTCAAACACGCAAGAAAATTACCAAAGGAAGACTTTACAATTTCAGGTATGTCATGCATGAGGATTGCTATCCATCGATGTCATTTGAGCATTCCTAAAGATGAGTACTCTGAGGTTTTCTGGTCATGGGTACAAAAACTTCAGACATGTGTAAAGATTAACAGGGAATACATAGAGGGATTAAAAATATGAGAGAGAAAAAACTGCCTCTCATGCCTTTTTTTTTTTTTTTTTAGCTGTTTAACTGTTTGCATTATTTATTGAACGACCTTCGTACACTGGACTTCTGTGAACAGATTTTAAAATATGAATTGTATGCTGCATGTGACAATTGCTTCGATGAATACACAACTGTTTTTTTTAATTTGACAGTTGTGCGTTTTGTAATGTATCCAATATTATACCTATAAACAAGGATGACCTATGATCATTCTAATATAAATACAGTTAACCACAGGGCAAATCACTTATCATGCATTACAAACAACCACAAAAAGGATTTCCTTTCCATTTACCCCGGATGTTAATCTATTTTGCTCCTTCATAATTTTATCGAATGTAGTGTTAATATAAAGAACGCTGACACAAACATGGAGCTGTTATGTACATGTTCATCAAGGACATTTTTAAGTAGCCATGCCAAAAACATACTCCCTCTTTTATTTAACTGTAGATTTAGTGCATTAGCTTCCGATTCAGTGCAGGTAAACAGGAAAAATAATTCGGATTCTTCTATTAAATCAAATGTTGTTCCATTGCAACAAGAATCATCAGAGTTTCTATGGCAACCAAGCAAAACTTTTGTCCAGTGTCATTATAAAAATGGATTTGGGAAGCTTCCAGTGGAAGTGAATGTTTACGACAATCGTCTCGGGGACGATGCGCCTACGGTTGTAATGTTGCTAGGTCTTTCCGGCAGTGGAGAGGACTTTAAGGATATGGTTGCTTCTCTAAGTTCTGCAGGAATTCGATGTGTTGCTCCTGAAATACCAGGTAAAGGTTTTGACTGAAAAGAGATGATTGTGATGCAAATGGTATCAGGTGCTTTATTAATAGGAGAGGATATTTGTACATGAAACATCAAAACCAAAGTCATTATTCTAGAGGGTTATTTAAATGTTTAGAAAAAGTATTACAATGTACGTATATTTTGTGAAATTATGTTGTAACAATGTAATATAAATATTTCGATATCAAGAAATAGCTTTACAGCAGATTGAAAATAACTTTTTTTCTTCTTTCTTTTGATGACACATGATGATCGGTTTGAATATTTCAGGATTTGGAGACAGTGTGATAACTAGATCCGATATCTATCGACTTGATTTCACTTCCATTGGCCAGAGTCAAATGTTGACAGATGTACTTAAGAAAATAAAGATAGCAAGGTTTAATATGAATTGCATGAAAAATACAATGGTTTATTATTTACAGAATCAACAGGACAGAAATAATGTTCTCATACAACAATAAAATCATCTTAAATTTACAAAGACGCATTGTTTAAAACTTGTTGCAGAAATCTGAATATTGATGAACGATACTTGATTCAACCAACATTCATTATAGAACTTGAATTGATAAAGAATATACATTTTCCTATCATGTCATATTTATCATATTTATGTATATACATTCTATCTAATGAAACGTGACTTGCCTCTAGCAAGCTATTCATTGACAGTCCTAGAGACTTCTTTAAACAGTTTTATGTATATTTTCCTTATACGTGAAGTTATATAAAAGCAATGTGGAAACCATATCCGTCATAATTTATTTCCTTATAATTTAACAAGCAATGTAAGGTCTCATAAAATTGATGTAATTATCTCAAAATGTTAAATATTTTAGACTTTGTAATCGTTCAACGATAGAAAATTTATGAATAGTTGTTACATTGCAGACCGTAAAATATATAAGAAAACAGAACACCGATATCCTTGTTAATAAGCAATATACAAAAATACCAATTCCTTTTACTTATTCATTTTCTTTATATTCAATTTTTCTTTTAAAATTGAAAAAAAAACCAAACTGGGAGAAAATGACTTTATATATTACAGAGTGGACAGTGTTGTGGCTCATAGTGCAGCGTCTTGGATGGCTCTCCAATTTGGTGTATCTCATCAGAGCGTGAAATCCCTCTTCTTAATAAATCCAATGAGCGTCCGACCTAATAAGTATGTACCATCAGTCATCATTTATCCCCCCCCCCCTCTCTCTAACAAATATGGACAAATATTTCTTATACATGAAGCCTACATTTTTAGTTTAATTTGTACTGATTGATATGCAGTATAGGTGCACTTTCCAGTAAATCTGAATTTAAAGATATAAACATATTTTATTTTTTTTCGTGTGATGCACGAACAGTTACCAAAGCCTTAAAACATTCAGAACACTTAAAGTAAACAATCCTATAAAATCCCATAGTGTTTCTGTCTATTCATAGTGGTTTTAACACACTCGACAGCTTTTGTGAAATATTGTGTTTAAGTATAATGATTTATTATTAATCCACTTGGTCAGTTTGCCTTTATTACAAATATGTAATTTGCCTGAAAATTGACGATGACTACATTTGAGCTAAAAACGGCCTTTTATGAATCTATGTTACAGGGACATGACTTAGCTCGTTTCTACCACAGGAGTTGGCATTATGATACCTATCAATTTTACTGAAATTTTTAGTAAACAAAAAACAACAAAAAAAAAAAAAAAAAAAAAAAAAAAAAAAAACAAACGTATATAATGATGTTATTATTATAATAGTATTACGTTTGTTTGTTTTTTTGTTTTTTGGTTTGTTTGTTTTTTTAATTTTTAAATTGATAGGAATGCCAACTCCCGTGTTTCTACAAAGATGAATTTGTATTTAGGAATAAATAAAATTTTCAACAATTGATCAATTTATTGTATAAATGTCACAGAAATTTCAGGAGGTTTCACTTCACCATACGACATCGATATCAATATTGTTCAGATGATACCAGTATTCATCAGGACTGTAAGAAATTGTTGTAACAAATCTCTTCTCAGATCTGTGTGATACTAATACACATGTATGACCATGTCACCGCATATTGAAAATTCAATATATTGATAAAAAAAAGTGATTATGTCAAATCATGTCTGTAATTTAGAGCTATGAGACCATACCTTTGGACAAAGCTGGTTGGTGCAACTGCTAGAAAACAAATGCTGTGGCCTATTGCTGATTCCTATATTAATATCGGCGCTCGAAGATCAGGTGACTTGAAGAAATGTCATTTGTCATTTTTTATTACAATTAACTTTAAGAAATGTAGTTAAAAATTAGTATAAAATAAGAATTCTTTTCAAAATATATTTAGTTCAATTATCAGAGAACAAACATATGTTGAATTCTTATCTATGAAATCAAAACATATATTACTACACAATAACTTAACTACACAAAGAATGTAATGAGATGATTCATGTACATGTTCCCAACTTGGCAGGCCCGTAGCAACGGTTTCAAAAGTGGGGGGGGGGGGACTTTCCAAAAACTTCTGACAAGCCAAAACAAAAAAAAAAACAAAAAAAAAAAAACAAAAAAAACAAACAAAAAAAACAACAACAACAACAACAACAAAAAAACCCCACCTAATTTACTGTCCAAATCCTGGAATTTGCCAGTTCTCGACCTTACAACAACATGAAGTGGGGGACCAACCAGCATCTTAAGGAAAATTTACTATAGCAAAATACTATACTCATTTAGAAAAATGTGCCCCCCCCCCCCCCCGCGTTCTACGGACCTGCCAACGGAATTGTAATATGCTTGGATATGTGAACATTGGTAGATAGAGGAAAACTCTGAATATAGCAAGATTCAATTCTGTAAAAAAAAAACAAAAAACAAAAAAAAAAACAATATTTTTTTTCTAATTCAGTACCATAAATTAGGATGACACCATTCAATCAACACTTTTCATTTACATATGAAAAATAAGAAAACAACAGTATTCAATAAACACGTATTTCATTTACATGTTTAACTCAGGTTTCAAGATCCCTCCACACAAACAAAGACAGATGTATGTTTCCCTAGAGACCGTGTCTACTGTTGATTTTGATTTAGTGAGTATTGAATTTTTTTTGCCTCTTTCTTGCACTCCTTTTTAAAATTGAAAGTAATGTAATTCATTTTTTAAAATGTCAGATATATAAATATATATATATATAGAGAGAGAGAGAGAGAGAGAGAAAGAGAGAGAGAGAGAGAGAGAGAGAACATTTTATTACCACTTTCAAAGACCTCTTGGCTTACTTTCAGGTACAATAATATACATGAAATGTAATATTATCATGGACCGACATGTTAGAATATCCATTACTCCAATATAATGCCGTCTTTTTTGTATTAAAATACCACCACGCATTGATAGAGCCATAATGATTTCATATTGCAGGACACAGCTCATGATGAAAAAAAATATATACCGGAGGTAGTTATATTAAATGTATAACATTTCGTTAGTTACCAATATTTAGAGTTCTCGGGTAACTCGCGGAATTGGATCTTTCTAATTCACAAAATGATATACTCCAAAAGTTTTAATTAATTTTAGACTTCGCTGTCATTTATCAATTTTCAATCTGACGTTGAAAATGATTACATGACTAATTTTTCATGTAATCATTTTCAATTTCAGATTGAAAACAAGGTTATTCAGAGAACGTGTGTCCCCTGCTTAAGGAAAAAAGAAGAAGGGTGGAAGAACTGACAAAAATAAGCAGATGGAGAAGAAAAAAGGTCAACCATGTCCTTTCAACTTTTCGCTTTAAAGTCAATATGGATGTGTTTTTTTTATTTAAAGGGGGGAGGGGGTAAAAAAATTCATGACCTTTATACCAGTGCAAAAACTTTTAGAGAACTAAAGTTATCATTTGATAATTATGTATTCTGAACTTGGTCTTTTACCTTTTGACCTCAATATTAATAGGAATTTTTTTTCAAGTCATATTTACTAAAACTGTAAAATCGCATTGCAAAACATCAAAGAGAACTAGAGTTATCACATAGAAACCATTTTTTTACAAGATATGATTTTTCACCTTGACCTTTTGACCCATAAATTAAAGAGTTCTTCTTTAAGCCATTGGGAGTGTGATATAAAATTTTTATACAAAAAGCTCAAGGAAAACTAAAGTTATCATCTAAAACCTTTTTTAGCATTTTATGAATTTCTGACCTTGACCCATGATCTTTTAAACTAAAAAAAATAATAGGGATGTTCTGTAAGTCACTATTGCAGTTATTAAATGTACCATCATTGAAAAAAGTCAGAGATCCAAAGTTATCATCTGGAAACCATTTTTTGCAATATATAAATTTTATTTTTGATCTTTTGACATCAAAATCAATACGGTTCTTTTTAAAGGCCATAGGGAGTTGTGAATTAGAATTTTAATAAAATTTTTCCAAAGGCTTTTTAAGATATAGTCCAGAAACAAAAGTGTACATGCAAACAGAATGTATGGAGTTCTGACCTCGACCTTTGCACCTTAAAACCAATAGTTGTCTTTTTAAGGCCATAGTGAGTTGTGATATAAAATTTCATTCCTGAAAGTAAACTTAAGTTATCATCTGGTAACTATGAATTTCTGACCTTTGACGTTTTGACCTCAAAGTCAATAGGGTCTTCCTTAGGCCATATAAAATTTTATTGCAAAAGCTCGAAGGCTTTTAAAGATGTCGCCCTGAAAGGAACGTGTTAAACATAGGTAGAATGTGTGAATTTATCACCTTGACCTCTGACCTTTTGACCTCAAAATCAACAGGGGTCCTCTTTAAGCCATAGGGAGTTGTAATATTAAATTTTATAGTTTAGAACACTTCTGTTTCCAGACCGATATTTGAAAAAAAAAACTTTCAGCTTTTGCAATATTTTATATGACACATTCTTATGGCCTAAAGAAGACCCTATTGATTTTGAGGTCAAAATATCAAAGGTCAAGGTCTAAAATTTGTACATTCTGTCTGTGTGTGACACGTTCGTTTCCGGGTGATATCTTAAAAAGCCTTTAAGCTTTCGCGATGAAATTTTATAACAACTCCTTTTGGCCTAAAAAAAAGACCACTATTAATCTTGAGGTCAAAGGTCGAGGTTAGAAATTCATACCTTCCAAATAACAGTTTCCGGATGATATCTCTTTCATTCGTTTCATACGTTTTCTTTGAGCTTCTTTCAATGAAATTTTATATCATTACTCATTTTGGTAAAGAAGGCCACTATTGATTTATAGGTGAAAAGGTCAAGGTCAGAATTTCATGATCATATTATCTCTTTGTATGTAACACTTTTGTTTCCGAACTATATCTTAAAAAGCCTTTGAGCTTTTGCAGTGAAAGAGGGCGTTGCAGTTCTTTTGTTATTTTCCCTAAAGTTGTACCAGTTTAAAAGAAAAATTTTAAGTAACAGAAAACGGTCTTAAATTTTTTTTCAGATACAACGGTATATACAACACAATGTAGAGCAATATTTAGAAACTGCATATCGACAACCAATTTGCCATTAAATGAAGTGTAAATTAGTCACATATCAAAATAAGTCAAGTTTTCTGTTTTTAATTGGGAATCCCCATTGCTCTGAAAAATTGCCTCCTTGAAACAAAATGAATTTGATATACGCACAAAGAGACAGTATTTTCCTTCAAATTTTCCGATTTTTGTTTCAAAGAGGCATATTTTTGAAAATCACAAAAATCGAATAAAAGTTATTATCCATCCGAAATGCGAAATGTGCACATAAAAAAGCACATGATAATTCAGTATCGTAGCTGGTCTAGTGGTAAAGCGTGTGGACTCCATGCGAAGATTCTTTTATCTGAGAATGGGTTCGAATCCTGGAATGGCTTATATACATATTTTTGTTTTCTTATATAATGGAAGTAAAATGTAACATCTCTCTCTCTCTCTCTCTCTCTCTCTCTCTCTCTCTCTCGAGAGAGAGAGAGAGAGAGAGAGAGAGAGAGAGAGAGAGAGAGAGAGAGAGAGAGAGAGAGAGAGAGAGAGAGAGGGGGGGGGGAATGTCAAATTTAATGGGTAATATTTTAAATGCATGCAGAATAAAATTGTTTTCCTTCATATTGTTATCTTATAAATAATAATAAGATAAACTAATGTCATTTAATACATTTAATGTTATTATATATTGGCGTTGTCTTAAGAAATAAAGCTCTTTCATTTTAAATAATTTAATTTTTTCATACTCATTACATTATTGTTCTGTTAATTAGTGGCTCAGATTTGACTTGAAACAACTAAATTTAAATGACTCAATGAAATTTCTTGGATATTGCATCAACAGCGTGATTATTGCATCAACAGCGTGATTATTGAACACATTTTTATATATTGAAAAATATTAACGCAAGCTGTCTACAGTACATCTTTCAAAATGATGGTCGAGGTGCATTTGCCTCTAATTGTGCTTTTATCGTTCTAACTTTTCTCGTGCAATATGGCGACAGTGACCATAGATATGAAAAGAAGTTTACTAACAGGTCGCCAGTCTATGCTAGGAAAAACTATGCATGAAATAAACGTAAAATGTGAAATGTTTTGTTATAGCAAGCTGGACATACCTGCCGTATAAATAAAGTCATCTACGTAGCATTATCTATATGTTATCTATACAACTCCCTATAGCCTAAAGAAGCCCACAAAATTGATTTTGGGGTTCAAAGGACAAGGTCATAAACTCGTACATTCTGTATGTGTGTTTCCTGACTATATCTTAAAAAACCATCGAGATTTTGCAATGAAATTTTATATTACAACTCTATATGACATATGACATTTAAAAATCTGTATTGACTTTGGGATCAGAAGGTCAAATGCCAAAGTCAGAAATTTATATATTGCAAAAAAAAAAAAAAAAAAAAAAAAAAAGAAGAAGAAAAAAGAAAAAAAATGGTTTCCAGATGATAATTTAGTCCTCTTTGAGTTTTTTTCAATGAAGTTAAATAGAACTCCTAGTTACTTAAAAAAGACCCCTATTGGTTTTGAGATGCAAAGGTCATAGACCAAGGTCAGAAATTAATTTATATTGCACACAGTTTTCAGATGATAATTGTAGTTCTATGTAAGCTTTTGCAATGAAATGAATTTTTTAACCTATTTAACCAAAAGCTGAAAGGTCAAGGTCGGCCTGTTTTTCTTTCTCCATCTGCTTATTTTTTTCATTTCTTCCACCCTCTTTTTTTTCCTTAGTGGGGGACACAATTTCTCTGAACTAGCTTGTTGATATCAAAAGTGAATGCTTCGCTTTATCGGCTAAGATGTAATAATTTTGCTCCAGGTCAAAGAGAACGTAAAAACCATCCAGGCAAGACGTCTCCCAGCAATGGTGGCATGGAGTAAAAAAGACAAAATGATTGAGGAAACGTTAACTCGTCAGCTGCTGGGTTTACTGGGCCTGAGAAAGGATATATCATTCGGTGATAAATTCAGTAAAGGTAATACTACTGTTTTTTTTTTTAAAAATTAAAATGTAAACTTTGTTATACATTTCAGGACTTTACCAGAAAGATCATTGCAAAGCAATAGTACCTAGAACTGATACAATGTCAAAAATAGAGGTAACATCTTATACTAGTTCCAAAAAAGACAAAATCATATTGCTTAATGATCTTTTTGTAAAAGAGTGACTGTATAAAGTCGTTCTTCTATATATCTGCTGCAGAAGAATAACATTTACTAATTAAAAGTTGTTTTTCAAATTGAAGATTTAAAACCTAGTCACAGTTTAGAAACAATAGGGAGATAAAGGAAAAAGAAAAAAAACAATTACACAAACACATTCACCCTTCCGTAAGTTTAAATATGGATACTGGAAGAAGCGCAGATTGAAGGGGTACGTTTTTTTCTTCCATACGAATATGTAGGAAATTCTAATGAAGAACAGACTTAATTTTGTTTCAAACAGACTATTATTCTGGTGGATATATATTTAGTTCATGTGTACGTGGAATTATTTCCCTTCTACAGTGACACCACATTAAAGCTTTCAATCCTTATGACATGCATTTGATAAGGGTGAGGTAACTCGGCTGAGTATAACTGTTGATATCCGTTTCCAATGTACTGTAAATTCATCAAAACACTTATAAAGTATGAATTTGAATACATTAATATTTTGACTTTGTGCTTATTTAGCTCTTAGTAGAAGATAAATAATTTCCAGATTTCTCATTTATTTTTTTTTTATATTTTATTTCATTTTTATTTATTTATTTATTTATTTTTGTGTGTGTCAAGTGTTTGATTACTTATATGAAAGTATTGTTGAGTTCTTCGTGTTTTTACAATTAGTACATGCAGTAAAAGTTCATTTTTGAGAAAGGACATCCTTCCTTTAATAAGGATTTACACCAGGCTCTTTTATTGTGTTTTCAGAGTTCTATGCAGACTTTATTAAGAGTCGGTATTTATGACCATTTTCATTTTATTTAAACCTCCTGGAAAAAGAAGAGCTCTGGATAAGATTTTAAAATTATACCTGGAACATGAGATTTTTTTCCTTTACTACCGGTAAATTAAAGTTTATAGCTAGAAAAATCATATTTCCACATATTTTTAGGTGAAGCTTGACTATGAGAGATCTGCTTGTTACAAGTTATATATATATATATATATATATATATATATATATATATATATATATATATATATATATATATATATATACATGTATATACATTTACCATTTACATTTTACATTTACACTTGTTAAGTTATGTTTGATAATTACAATTAATAAATTGTGGCAGAACAATTGACAAATTATGAAATTATGATTTATAGTTTAAAAATTAATAATTTTGAACCCGTTGGTTTTCCATAGAAGTGAGCCTTACATTGAAATTTGCAACCAATCATGTTATGAAGCAATGTATTTAGTTTTTAAGTTTTTTTTCATTGATTTGTTTTAGAGGACCAAATATCTTGTAATAGGTTACTTATTCATTTTTCAGGAAATATAACAATCTCAGATTAGCGCTGTGGCCCTTGAGCCTTTATTAATATTATTCCCTTTCTTCCTCTTAATATTAGTTACATCATGGATGCAAATCATATAATTACATGTACAATGTTCTATATATTTCTTGTGTTTTAGAGGCCATATTTTATATTGTATATAGAGGATATTCAATGTTTTGTAGTTGGATATGGAATTTATTTCACGAGTGGGACAGGACTTTTTGATATTTTCACGAGTGCGAAGCACGAGTGAAAATATCAAAAAATCCTGTCTCACGAGTGAAATGAATTCCATATCCAACTACAAAACATTGAATTTTCTATTTATTACATTTTCTTTGATTTTCCCTTTGCCTCTGTCTTTTCTGTTAAAACACAATGTAATTGTGTGACGTCATAGTTGAGCAGTTGAGACGTCATGGCGTAGCAGTTGTAAGATGACAAGACATTGTAACATGGATTTTAGCAACATATTTGGGAAGAAATTGGCAGTTTTAGTCTCTGTCAAGATGGTTTAGTTACTATTTCAATCTTATTACATACCAGAAGTTATATTTTACTTGTGACACGATTGCGGTGTTTTTCTTTGAAGTTTGCTGTTCTGTATTAGCAATACAGAACGGAAATACAGTGGGCGGAGCTACTTTCCGTTCTGTATTAGCCCTGTATACTGTCTTGTATTAGCCAACTGTTCTGTATCTAAAATACAGCACGGTCTAAAAATAAATCTGATTCAATTTATCAAAAGCACGTTCAAATAGTAAATGCTGATTTTTTCCTATTATAAATTTGAAGAAATATTTCCTTAGGAATGTAAAATGTCAAAATTTCTCAATCACTTTTAAAAAAATTATTCCACACAGAATCTACGCGTTATTTCGATCCAAACGAAAAGGAAAAGTCGCAATTATGGAAAACATCCTATGTTGGAGAAATTCCTGAAAACCTGTTTGCTTTCCCTGCTTTTTGTGTCCCCTTCAAAATAGTAAAGCCAATGGGTTCGCGGATGCAGCATACATTACGTGAAATTCGCACTCCCCCTCCGCCCATTTTCCACTCTTCTCGTGTAAACTCGAGCCTATTTTTCAGGATTTTTTTTAAAAATTCCATCTTAAATCCTTATCGCTGACGACTGCCGCACATCTCCTTCACTTCGTTTTTAATGTCGCATTTCAATAAGAAAATAAAAATCCGTAACATCAAAGTCCATCGAAAAACTCTGTATCGCCTGTATGTGTATCTATAGTTAACAGAGATTTTAAGACCCCTGAAATAAATTCGGATCAATCTCCATTTACAACAAGGTTAAATCGTCCACCTTATCAATTAAGACTGACTTCGATCTGTTACGTCTACCCCGTTGTCAAAACTAATCTGACTAAATCTTACGTTGTCCGTGAAAAAATATATATACAGCGGATGTATACTCCCCGTCGAGGCCTCATCTACAGAAAAAAACAAACGAACTCTGGCGGAAGTTTGGATGCTGCACGGGGATGAAGTGGGCGGTGCTTTTTTTGATTGATCGTGTCACAAATCATTTAGAGAACTCGACAGGTTCTGTATCGTAGATTCAAATTTGGGGTGGAGACTCGTGCTACGCACTCGTCCACCCCAAATTTGTATCTACGATACAATACCTGTCTCGTTCTCTAAATAATACTTACTTTGATATCCTTTCACACTGTGAGAGAATACCACTTATGTATCCTTTCACGCTGTGAGAGAATATCACTTTTATTCAATGAATAAATCACATTATTTCACTGTGAAAATGTAATAATTAAAATTATTTACAATAAATGTAAAATATTTTATTTTTACTTTATAGAATGTCAAACCCATTACATCAAGGAACTTGTGTTCGAAAACGGAGGACATGCTCTTCATAAGAAAGAGGCTAAAATACTATCGGAGAACATAATTTTGATGCTTCGACATATACTTTAACTAATAATAATAGCAAAAGCAATCAGATGATTAAAAAAATTAAACTTTCTTTTCAAACTCTTTGCTTTAATTCTATTGCAGATTTTTTTCCTGCAATAAACACAGTAGTCTGTGTGTAAGGTTTTTTTCTTTTCTTTTCCCCCCTTTTTTCGGGGGAGGGGGGTCTTTAGGTTTTTTCGGTTGCCATTGTCCAATACTTTCACCATCCTACTTAGACGAGACGATCATTTACTTCAAATTCGTCGGACCATTGGTCCTGTGTAACGACGAAAAGTGACCCCCGTAGAATATTGACCGAGGATCATTTGTCTACGTAGAAATTTGACCCACTGGTCAATAATCTACGTAGAAAAATGACCCATTTTTTGTAGAAATTATGGCCTTGGGGTCAATTTTAGCTCTACTGGTCAGAAGAGCTTATGCGATAGTAAGGTGTCCGTAGTCCGTCCGTCCGTCTGTCTGTAATTTTTTTTTTCAAAATGCTACTCCTCCTACAGTTTTGGTCTGCTTTCAATATAACTTGGCACACAAGTAGACTACACCAGGAAACATAACGTAGAACATCTGTTTTTGAATTTTGATGAACGGTGTTGCCATGGTTACTAAAAATAGAAATTTCTGTGAAATTCCTTTAAAACTCTTCTCCTCCCATAGTTTTAATATGATTTCAATATTACTCGGCACACAAGTAGACTACACTGAGATTTTTTATCAGTTTTTGATTTTGGTGAAGTGTTGCCATGGCTACTAAAAATACATATTTCTGTGAAATACATTCAAAATGCTACTCCTTCTTTTGCTTTAATTTCAATGTAACTTGGCATGCAAATAGACTACACTGAGATACATAATTGTCTTTATCAGTTCTTTTGTTTAAATGAATGATGTTGCCATGGTTACTAAAATCAAAATTTCTGTAATACTCTTGTGAAAGGCTATTCCTCCTACAGTTTTAGTCTGATTGCAATAAAGCTTGCTACAAAAGAGACTTAAACAAGGATCATTACTCTTTATTTGTTGTTGCAAAATTTCAAGTCTACGTGCTATTTTTCTTTTCCTTTGTTATAAGTACAAACCAGTAGAGCTACAGTCTCATCAGAGACTTCTGGTTTTCCATGTAGATTATAGAAAAATGACCCTGTGTCATTTTTTGATTAAAAAAAAAAAAAAAAAACAAAACTGCATGGTTTTGGTAGGAAAATTCTTGTTAGGCAGCATTATGATATGAAGTGTTCATTCCTAAAAGCTTTAAAGTTTAAATGACAAAATTAAAAGGTTATGCTATACTTTACATCAATAATACAAGATGTTTTATCCCCATTAAAGGAAAACCTAACAATGCTATAATAAATAAATGTTCTATCACTGCACGTATTAGAGCAAGAATACATATACATGTACATGTACGTACATTCTTTGATTTGTTTTATCACATTTAATAAAATACGTTTCCACAGTTGTAATTATTTTTAAAAAATCAATATCATTATCTTAGCTGGTGTAAGAAAGAGAAACATATAAATAAAAAAATGTATAGCTTCCATAATTGTAATCCTCTTTGATTTTACTCTGGGAAAATAATGTGCAACAAATAAAAATGTAGTCTTCTTTTTTTCGTTAGAAGTTATAGGAAGTTATAAGAAATGTTAACGTTTTGGAACCCTACCCAAATAAATCTACGTGAAAAAATGAAAGATTTCTAAGAAAATTCGATCTCGTGATATCTTTGATTTTCTATGAATAAAGTCTCAAACTTCTTTTCATAAAAATATAGGGAAAATTACATTTGTGAAAAAATAACACACACTAAATCAATATGCCTCTGACCTTCAATATCAGGGGTACAAAAAGTGATTAGCTCAAAATCTTTGCCAATATGTCTTTTGTCGTTTGTTAGTGTCAACAAAGCCTTAAACAAAATGAGGCTTTTTACATAAAAAAAATTTATTACTTAAAAAAAAGGTGTTTGGTATACCAAGAATTGACACAAGTTTAAATACGGTAGTATCGTCTTTCCCCTTTCTTGTTACATGAAAAAAAAATTACCAATAGAAAAAGCAGAATATTGCATTATGAAAAAAGCTTCTCAATCTTATTTACATATTTTTTCTTTCCTGAGTATGATTGGCAAAATTAGCACATTTGAAGTTGTGTGGGCAAAAAATATAGAACTGTACAAAATAGTATTTGTAACACATTGTGTTAGAATCAAGTACCATGCGAGATTCGAATAAGCGTAGCTATAGCAGGTGCGTATCCAGGATTTTTTTCCAGGGGGGGGGGGGATCCACCCCAGTCAAAAAAAGTTTCCAATCCAGAAATTTCTTGTCAAACAAACAAACAAACCAAAAAAAAAAAAAAAAAAAAAAAAAAAGAATAAAATAAGATATTTAAAAAAAAAACTCCTTTGTCAGACTATCAAACCCAGAAAATTCCTTAACAAGGAAAACCCCAAAAGTCCATTACCAAACGATGTAAAAAAAAAAACCTATTTCGTGATGATGGTGGTGGGATCCACATTTTATGGGATGGGGGTGGTCCAGAGTCATTTTATTTTATTTGCAGCAGTATATATTTTAATAACTTTGCAAATTCCGGGGGGGGGGGGGTCCGGACCCCCCTCCCCTCCCCCCACCCTCTAGATCCGCGCATGTACAGTGGCGAGTTTTGAACGGGTTGTAACCCACTCTTTAAATTTACTAGTAGGCTCTAGGTGAAAAATTCCCTTCTTGTCATGTATGTCTTTCCTATCAACAAATTAAGCGTTCTTGCTGTCTGATACGAGGTTTAAGAATATAAAAGTGTTTTTAGGATAAAAGTGAAAAGAAATCTTCTTTTCCTTTCCCCGAAAATCCTCTTATTAGGATTTTATTTACATAATGCAAATGTGCATTGCAATGCAGATTGTTTCAAATTCATTACGATTTACAAATTTTATCCCTATAAAGTTACATGGCTTGAGGACGGCGGTATGCGCGACAGAAGCAACCTTGTAACAATTTTCAAGCACACATTTTGCATGGCTCTCTTTTTTTTTTTTATTGAATGGCTCTACAGCTTAATGGAATGATTATAATTTTCCCAGAAGCATGGCTTAGGCCTGTTATAAGGTGAACATTTACTCAAATTACACTGATGGGTCAACAGTAAATCATTTAACACTATCCATTCAAAGGCTTTAAGTGTAAATCTATGGTTAGTAGAGTAGAATCATGCAACAAGTAAAGGTTACATGTAGGTTTTATTAACAGTACGCATTTGAATAAAGCACCAAACGATCATTCATATGCAATGAGAAAATATGACATACCGTGTGATGCGTAGAACAACGAGGGAGTCATGATGCAAATGCATTTTGGCTAACATTCAACGCAATGACACGATATCTGAACAGGACAAAAATTATAAAAATATAAAATTTAAGTAAAATAAATGCATACAACTGCTGTACAAGGGAAAGGGATAGTGAATGTCAAACCCTTATTACATTCTTGGTCAAATGAAGAATATTTTATAGACCTCTTCTCAGCATGTGGATAATTCAGATACTTTTCATAACGGTTCAACAAATGATATCAAACTGGGATTTCAAACTGACATGTCATCTTCCTTGCATGTTAGTAAACATATAAGTATTGTTCTTCAAACATATAAAATTCTTCTTCAATAAATTCGCAAACGAACCAAGCAATGATCTAATTGTGTACTGGGAAGAATTATTTTCTGTTGTGTGAAGTTATCACCTTATAATTTTGAATTACTTTCATTTTTTGCATAAATAAACAATTCTGCTAAATCCATTCTAAAGTAAAAAGATCAAGAATAGACATTTTATAATTTCTTTTAAAATAACGATAAGAATTTTCTATTTATTATAGAATAAGTATTTTTTCCAATATTTTTTATTGTAAACAAACTATAAAATATCTATGTATTATGCATATATATATAGTTTATTTCACAAAGCCGTAGAGTAACTGAGTCAGACGGACAAGAAATAGATAAAGCGAGAGGGGGAGGGAGGGGGAGAGAGAAAGTGGGGGTGGAGGAAGGGGGGAGAGAGAGGTGGGAGTGAGAGAGAGGCGGGAGAGAAAGAGAGAGGGAGAGAGAGAGAAAGGCGAGGGAGGGAGAGAGAGGAGGGAAAGAGAAAGAGAGAAGAGGGAGGGAGGGAGTAGGGGGAGAGAGGAGGGGGGGAGCGGGAGGGAGAGAAAGAGGAGAGGAGGGAGAGAGGATGGAAGTAGAGAGAAAGAATGGAGCGAGAGAAAAAGGATGGAGAATGGGAAGTGAGAGGTTGTTAGAGAATGGGGAGGGAGAGAGAGTGGGAAAATGGGAGTGGGGGAGAGGTTGTGAGGGAGAGAGTGGGAAAAGAGTGGGGAGAAAGAGAAAGAACTTGATATCATTTCTGTTTAATATTTAAGATATATTACTTGAATGTGTTACAAGTTACCAATCAGTTTTCTACGTGTTTTCCAGTATATATATACAGCACTCAAGGGTCACGAGGTCAGTAACCATGGTAATTTACTAAAGCCATAGTGCCAAGCAATATATGTGCAAAATATCAAATCCATTCCTCTTACAGTTTTCGAGATAAAGGGACAGTCAGACAGACCGGGTAAAGTGATCTATAAGTGCAGCTCTGCTCTGCAGGCGACACAAAAATGTCGTATTGTGATACTTTTCCTAAGACCGATATGCCACCAAAATGCTTGGACTTCTGATTTCTTAAAAAAGTTTTGAAATTTACGATGTCAGAAGTTGACGTTTTCAATCGTGCCAAACAGTAAAGTTGCTGTTGTAGGTTGCATTTCGTTGCAAAACTGTAGTAAAATCAACAAGAACGTTTTTGTTATCACGTATTTATAATAGTTTTATACGCTTCATTTATAAATGGAGGTTAATAAAACAAGAAAAGATCATTTTAACTTTCTGAAAATATTACAATACATATTGCAATACATTAAAAATATCGCAGTATATCGCAATACAAAATTCCCAACCGATACCTAACCCCATTTTTGAATCACAACACCCGTATAGACCGAATACGTCGTGTGTATATTTGGTGATAATCTGATTGGCTATATATAGGAAACCTCTTTTAAATTGATTGATTATTGTTTTACGTCCCGTTCGAGAATTTTCACTCATATAGAGAGGACAGCATATACTGGTGAAGGGCTTCAGATTTTGACCTTTACTCGGCACTCAGGGCTATTGAGCAGTGAGGATTCTTTATCGTGCCAACGCCTACCGTGACACGGGGCCTCGATCGGCTTTAAAGGTCTCATCCAAAAGACCCGCAACTTTCACTTCATAGTTCAAAGTGCCCAGCGCTTGGCGAATGAACAGTTGCTACCTAATTTTTTATCGACTTAGGTCAGTCGCCCGTCATTCGAACACACGACCTCCCGATCACGGGGCGAGCACTGTACCGACTGAGCTACCGTGACGGTAACCTCTTTTAGACTAAGAACAGAAAGCTTTGACGTTCGCTTCGTGATAGGGATCCGAGGCCCGGGTTCAATTCTTGTTCGCTAAACCGCGTCAAACGTAAAACGTTTATATAGTGTTAGTATTCTAACTGTTCCTTCGCCAAGCGCCCTGCACTAGAAATCAGGGTTCTTTCGGTGAAACCTTATAAAGGTCCCGTTTCACGGTAGGCGTTGGTACGATAAAGAACCGTTACTGCTCAATTTAACTTGAAGCTCTTCACCGGTGTATGGTGACGTCTCTATACGAGTTTTGGAAGAGTCATCTTTACTCATCATTACCAGAAGCTGAAAAAGTGTGAAAGTTTACGGTCGATGCACGTCGCACGAAAGACGTTGGACGACGACAGACAAAACCAGATAGAAATACACACACACACATAAATATATATATATATATATATATATATATATATATATATATATATATATATATATATATATATATATATATATATATATATATATATATATATATTCCAATCAGGGGATTCCAGACCTTTTAACCCAGACACCAAAATAGTTACTAGTATATCATTGCCCAGTGTGACAATATTTTTCAGATCCTACGACTACGTACGACTTTTCAACACTTTATACAACCATTCCCCACGATAAATGCAAGCAAAAAAAAAAACATACCACATACATTGTATATTGTATATGATGATAGTATTCCGAAGTGGCGTTAAGGAGGGAGAAGGTTTTTTGCTTCCTCCCCAACATACATTTGAGAGTATGAAAAAAATTCAAGAGACGCAGTTATCTCTGGGGCTTCGCCGACCCTCCCCAACCCTAAGATGAATGCGTATCTCATTTCTAAAGGTTTTACAGTAAAACTTGTATAATCCGGACACCATTGGTTCCAAAGAAAATGGCCGGATTAGACAACATTTTAAACAAATGAATTTACTGAAATGGACTGAAAGTTAACATCGCAATAAGCAAGATTTCGGATTTTACATCCGAATTAGACAAGTTTTACTTATATTATATAATATAGTTAAAAAGTGGGGGTCAGATTTCTATGGGGGTCATTTTTCAGCGTGTGTGGAGTCGTAGAATTACCGACCTGAAAGGATTTCCTACGGTCGAAAAATGACCCTACTTGCCGTAGAATGTTGACTTGGGGTCATTTTTCCACGTAGAAATTAGACCCCTCGGTCAATATTCTACGGGGGGTCACTTTCTGTCGTTACACCGGCCTGGAAGGATTTTCTACGGTCGAAAAATGACCAACTTGCTGCAGAATATTAACCGGGGTGATTTTTCTACTTAGAAATTTGACAATATTCTACTTGGGTCAATTTTCTTCGCTGTCCTAAATATCTGACGTTTTCCTGGCTTTTTTTACGATTTGATATTCTACGTGCCAGGAAAACGTCAATACTGGCGCCATTATGAAAACTGGAAATTTCGCCGTCTGTAACCGGAGTTGATTTTCGATGCTTGCGAACCGAATTAAATGCCGAACTCACAATTTATTAATAGCACAAAGCTTCTAGTACTCACCAATATCGACGAAAAGAAAACATCACTCCACATTTCGATACAGGATTTTCAAATTTTTGAAATGCACGAAATGAAAAAAAATCTTGACTGTCAGATAAAATGTTTTCATCGATTTGTATATTTTATAAACGAACCATAAAAACGATGTTGGTGAATACTAAAAGTATTGTACCATTGATAAGTTGTGAGTTTGACATTTAACTCGGTTCGCAAGTTTCAAAAATCAACCCGAGAATGCCGCCTCCGGTTGGAGGCGGCGACTTCCCAGTTTTCGTAATGGCGCCGGTTCTGACGTTTCCTGGCACGTAAAATATCAAATCGTAAAAAATCCAGGAAAACGTAAGATATTTCGGACTATTTTCGTCGTTACACCGGCAGTGCTATATTAAAGAGTGTACATTTACTTTTCTTAAAATCTGATTTATTTCTTTAACAAAATAAAAAGTTCTTACATGCATGTACATGTATGTTAAAAATATTACAAGTCCTTTTTATACCCTTCAGTTATCAAACATTGTATTTCTCTTTCATGTTGTCATGGGTGTGTATCGTTCTGAATTCCTGTAAACCTTTTAAACTATTTCCACAATTTCACTAAACTCCTTTTTTCATTTGGTTGCTGTCACTGCTCTGCACAAAAGATGGCCACAGTTGATACATAGCTAATAAAGGAACTCCTATCCATACTCCGTTTGGAAAGTAGAACAGAAAAGTTAAAGTTAAGGTAGAATCGGAACCGATCCAATGCTGTGCTCCGCAAAATTCCGTAAACATCAGGAAATATGTCACAGTTTTCCACATCGTCATGATATTGACATTGTACGCCATTATACGGGTATGGCGGCTCGACCGGTGGTGCTATTGTGTGGAAAGATAAAGAGAATTTCGTTTCATTTTACAAAAAAGATTTTTTTATGTTCAAGTTAACACATCTAACTTTCTTATATAGTTAAAAAAAAATGAATGAAAACTAGAAATTCTAAACCATTACAACACTAGTACTTACCAATATTATGGTCACTATGCTCAAGAAAACTTCAACATAATTTTGCCTACAACATATAAAAATTATATTTAGTGTAAAAAAAAAATTCTTTCCAGAATAATGATTGGTAGAACAAAATGTTCACATCATCTACCGATGTATGTTTCATTAATTTTATATAAAGTCAAAACCAAACCTAATGTCCATCTAAGAGTACGGCCGTTTTTCTGCTCATTAAGATAATTTTTTTCTCTGTAATCAAGACAGTATTCTGACAGAAAAAAGATTAATTAGGAATTTCTGGCAAAAAAGAACACCAAGATCCAATTTTTTGAAACAAATTATAGAGTTATCTCTCTTTGCCGAGTTACAAGTAAATCTCCCCGTTTTTAACATTAAGGAGGTCGTTTCGTGAAGTTTCATCACCTTCGACTGCATCATACAAATCTTTGACTGCAATCCGATAAGGAATAAAAAAATATTTTGACCAGGAACTATAAGGAGTTTTTTTTACAGCGCGAAGGGATCGATTGCAATTACCGCAAGAAAGTAATCCTTTATTAAGATTGCCAGAATCTATTCACAATATCAAGATAAGGGCAGAAGGTGAGGAATCTAATTATCCTTAATGATCTGATAAGAGGCTAGTTCATTCATTCTGTGGTCCATTTCACACTCTCCTCCCGTTTCTTTTATATTTTCAAGAAAAGAGCATTAGAAGTAGTTTTCATTATATAACCGTCCGTTTTATACTGTTTATTTCCACCAATAGGTGATATAATATAAATTTATATAATGGTATTGCTGGTTTATTGATAATTTAATTTTTCTAATGGGATTTTTTTTTAAAAAATTCTATTCTAAATAACAGGAACATTAGCTACGTATTCCAATGTTGTCAATTATTTTTCCTTTTCTAGATATGATTTTAAAAAATAATTTATATACATATTTTAGCAGACTATTTAAAACAATTTATATCCTTTGATATATGTATATATATGTATATTTTCATAAATTATTCTGCCAAAGTTTGAGATTGAGGTCAATATGAAAAAGGTAAACTTACATAGAAAAAAACCTTAATATTAAAAGTCGTATTGTTCGTGGTAAATACTTTTATTCTAATTTTTTCAGTGTTTAATATCAATATTTTTAATTAATCGTTTATGCAATGTTGGCACTATTGTTTTTATATATGGGGAAGTTAAAGGGGCTCAGATTAAACATATTGTAAATAATTATTACAAAAACAGCTTTTGGGATTAAACGAATATTCCAGGGGGTGCATTAATTATATAAATACGAGGAAAAGGGGGTATCTCCACGATCACGCATGTTTGGTGTGCAGCACCTGCACGACACTAAGGACATGCTTTGGGTACATTTGCACTTAACTTACAGGCTGATGGCTTTCACAAATGGGTCACTGGTGTCCATATATCGTTTGTCGATGTTGACATAGTACTTATCTGCAAAATTAAAGAAATATCAACATACACTTTGATCCCTAAATTAGACCAAATATTAATAGAGAAATAAAGAAATGATAAGTTTTTTTTTTTATTTACCATACATCTGACAGCAATGTCAGTAATTGTCCGTTTTTAGGGCGATATATAATCGCTAAATGGACTTGTTACTTGAAGATATGATTGCTAACGTACATGTAGGATGATATATATACACGTATTGGCATCCAGAATTCTGTTTATCCTTATACTATTTCTTGCCAATCTTCTTTTCAAATTCACACACATATATTGTTTTTAATCAAACATGTCTGAAGCTATCCATGATATCTACAATCCTTCCAAATTAGGCATTACACCTGGTCAGTTTATTTATTGGATGGGAAAGGGTGTCATTTTTTTCTTGTCGACATATCTTTATGGGATATGCCCCTCCCCCTCCCCCCCCCCCCCATTTTCATTTTTAGCATTGATATATAATGAATCGATCTAGACTTTGAGTCATTTTCATTCGTAAGAAAGGTACATAAATCGATACGACATCACTTACATTCAAAATAGAGACCGAAGAATTTTGACCCAGTTTTATGCCGCCTCAATTATGTCTAAACTATGGGGTGTAGTTCTTTGGAATGTTTATTTCAGCCTGCATAAATGAAAATTTACCTACTACATGTATTACATAAACAAGTCAAAAAACACGTGTTTTGTTTTGTTTTTCAAATGGAGTAGCAAATATTTTTTTTAAATATACATGTATATAATGAGCTTTTTGTTTTGTTTTTTAAAAAATTATATATATACATATATATGTATATATATATATATATTCTTTTACGGGGGAGGGAACGAAAGCAAATGATGTGAATCTTTTATACACAATGAACAGCTGATGAATAAACCGTAATAAAAGAAAAAGCGAGGAGTACTTACATAAATACCAAATCCATGAATACGAACCCCCGGGGAGTGAATGGGGGCGACACATTATAAAGCTTGCATCCCACGTGCAAATGATGGCATTGACATACATCCATCCTAAAATCCAGCCGGGGAGTTGTCTTATATCCTGTTTGCTGGGCATACTGTCAGTCTGTCTTAGCTCTTTAACGCCTCACATATATAGAGCTGTTCCACGGGTCGAGTGTAAATAGATCATTAAAACTTCACACAGGGTGTCAAAGATTAGTGATTTGATATTGATAATACTAGACCATAGTATACGATGGATGATTAGATTCAGACTAGAATTTGTAGAAAAGGATATGTCATTTTAACGTTCAACTACTCAATGTATATATACATTTAGTGCCAATTATCGCTCTAATAATATAGAATAGTGATAATTAAATAATGTTTCATCACCGTTAGATTATCATTGGATAGTAATAGAAATTTACTTTATTTGTAAGTAAAGGCATCATATATGCAAATTAATTTTACCCGCATACAACGAAGCTTTTAAATCTAGTTTCACACCCCTACTCGATAATCAGGAGCATACACAGTTGATAAGTGAAGGTCATGATGCCCCTATCATGGTGATTAATTTCACTACAATTATGTCGTGTCAAATCATGGAAGAAAAATTCACACTGAAAATTCAGGAATCATCTGGTACATGTAGTATTTATATCGATCAGTACAAAACATTCATCAGAGTTATACTTCCTAGCTGAGGAGCGGACATCTTTAAGTTTTAATGTTTTTGCATTTATAAGATATGATAATAAAAATGAAAGTAAGCATTAAAATGTCAGACTAAAATGATACTCATTATATTTTTTACTTTTTTATACGAAAGTTTCACAGTTTTGTGAAATTTAAAGGTACTGAAAATAATTTATGTGACTGTAATATTTTCCTTGTCTTCTTCATTTGCACACGAAAGTCATTCCGACTCCGAAATCATGCATTAGTTTTTGGCTTATATTTCCTAAAATTATTTGAAAGGCTATTGATTATTACAAAAATGAGAAACATGCATGAGTCAAGAGGAGTCATGACACGTGATGAAAAAAGGAGAGGGGTGGGTGGATGATAGAAGGTATGTGTGACATGATGAAAGACGGGGGGGGGGAGGGTTACTTAAATCACCGCTGAATGACGAGCAAATTAGTTAACTTTTATTTAAAATCACTAAAATTCAGGAGCTAAGGCGGCCCCCAAAATCCCTGCCTATGAAAAAATTTCAGGCCCCCACCCAAATTCCAGGATCCGCCCAAATTCCAGGATCCGCCCCTGTTTATTCATATTTAGAGACTGGTGATCTTTTTTCCCCGAAAATATATATATTAAACATATATAAAAAGAAGAACGCTTAAAGAAATTAAACATATCAGGGGTAAATGTTTTATGGATTTCGGAAGTCTGCTTTTTGCGTGTGTATTCTAATTTAAACATGAAAAACTTAGCAAATATATGGACTAAGAATTTTTAAACTAAGAAGTCCAAAATAAATTGAAAGAGACAATAAATTTCTTTTTATCGCCAAATTAATTTCAATTTATAAAAGGGTTCTAAAATATAACATAAAACTTAGAATATTGATACATATTTTATGATACCCATACAAAATACTCTTGAAATTGAAGCGTTTATTCAGATTCCATGTAACCAATAACATCATTATAATTATTTGTAGGAAAGTTTGGTGTAAGAAACTGTATTTTTTTCATTTGAAACTATTTTTCCAATGAAAATAGTGTTTATTTTTGGAAATGTAACAACAATGTTATAATCTTCTTTTTTCTTTCCTTTAATGATGTTGGTGGTAAAGACAGACAAAGCTTTTCTAGTTTTTTTTATTTTTTTGGTCTTTGTTAATGTTACTACATGTAGTATTCTTACTATATGACTGCTAGTAAATAAATAAATCAAATTGTAGTAAAAAGTGCTTACATTTATAAAGTCCTTGTGGTCCACTACATGCGGACAGAATGTTTTAAAGAAAGAAAGGAAGAAAAAAAAACAATTCCTTAGATATATTTTAAGTTCATGTAAAATGGCATGATTTTCATTGGATGTCTACTAATGCGTGACACGCAATGGGCTCCTCTTTGTTTATCACAGTGTGCAGTCGTGACATACAAATTAAGAGAACCTATTGTTATTTTACTCTCATCATGAACTGTTAATCCAGCACACATGTACAAGTACAACCAGAAGAAGGATATTGAATTTTTTCACAATTTTTGACCTAGTTACAAGAATTCAACCATATCTTATGGGTGATGATTATTTTTTGAATTAAAGTTTATTATTATTTTAATATTGACACAAATGTTTACGTAATTAGATTGATTGATTGACAAGCATGTTGTTTTACGCGTCACTTTCCAGAATTTTTCACTCACCATTGACCTGTGAAGGGCTTCAAAGGGCTATACTTGGCATTTGGACTTTACTTTTCATTTTCTTGCTTATGTTATATTTTAATTCTCATAATATCTTGTTTAACACTTAATTGTTTAATTAACGAGTGACACGTATCGGACTTTAGATCTGTTATTACAAAGAGACAGTGCTATGACTCAAGAACTGTTGGTCTCTATAATAACCGTGTAATTATTCGTTTTCCATGTCCAATCATTAAGATTCATTAAGTTTATTTAATTACTCAATACCTGTGAATCTGTCACTCCGGTTACTTAATGTCAACTTAATTTACTTGACAAAGAGTACTTTCTCATTCAAGAAACAACATTTCATGTTTGATGGATTATTCAAACACCGCAGTATGAATACTTTACAGTAGTCATATTGCAGATCGAATTAATCTGTCAAAAAAGGACACCACATTCACTATATAGCTAATAATGATATCATTTTACAATAGGGTATTATCTTTCTTTTGCAGAAAAGTAAAAAAAAAAAATATGACTCGCCTGAATATAACAGTATGTTTTAAGAGTCTCATAAATTAATTGTTGTCTTTTATAACGTTTGTTAGCCTTACCGGTTTTCAGGCTTCAGTAGAATAATAGGGTGATTAATCGGTAAATGAATTCTGACCATATCCATTCATAATAAAATCTACAGTAAGACATAGGAAGCATATCACGTCAGCTTGGGGAAAAAGGCCCATGGGCCACAACGCTCATCCGAGTCACTATGGCTCTTCTTCAGCAGGTTTTTTTTTCCTATATATGACTTTGATCGTCAATTATGGCCCCACCCTTCATGTACCCCTGCGGGTCATGATTTGAACAAACTTGAATTTACACTACTGGAAGATGCTTCCATATTAATATTGACTAATTATGGCTTTGGTGTTCTTGAGCAGAACATTTAAAAGATTCCCCCCCCCCCTTCTATTTTACAATGTAAAATTTTGATTGCCAGTTGTGGCCACACCTACCTCAGGAGTCATGATTTTAAGCAGTTTAAATTTACACTACCCCTGAGATGCTTTCATATAAATATGACTAATCCTGGCTTTGCCATTAGGAAGAAGATTTTCAAAGATATTTTCTATACAAGTACATGTATATTACTGTGAAAAACTTTGATTGCCAGTTTTGGCTTTACCCTACCCCTCTGGGTCATGATTTGAACAAATGTGAATCTGCACAACCAGAGGATGCTTCCATATTTATAAGACTAATCTTGGCCCTGCTGTTCTTCAGGAGAAGATTTTTAAAGGCTATGTTAAATTCTGTCCCAAACCCCAGGGAGTCCTAATTTGAACAATCTTGAATCTACAGAACCTGAAGATGCTTGCATAATTATATGACTAATCATGGTTTTGCTGTTCTTAAGAAAAAAAAAATCCTATATATTCCCATGTAAAAATTTAACCTCTAATTGTGCTCCCCTCCCCCATTCATCCATTCCCTGGGCCATGATTTGAACAAATTTGATCATACACTACCTGAGGATGTTTCTACATTTTATACGACTAATCATGCCTTTGCTGTTCTTCAGGATTTGTTCCTATATACATGTACATGTATTTGTATGTAAAAGTTTGATCTCCTGTTATGACTCCACCCTACCCCTAGGGGTCATGATTTGAACAAACTTAAATCTACACTACCCAAGGATGCTTTCTTGTAAATATGACTAATACTGGCTTTCCTGTTCTTAAAAGGAAGATTTTTTAATAATATTTTTTCTTATATATTCCTATTTGAAAGTTCCATCCCCTGTTTTGGCCCCATCCTTTCCTGGGGGATCAGGATTTGAACAAAACTGAACTTATATTATGTAACACAGCTTTCACATAAGTTTCATCTCTTCTGGGTCAGTGGGTCTTGAGAAAGAAATTTTCAAAAGAAGCCATGATATCTCTCTTTGAAAGAATACATGGCCTTTCATTTGAACAAACTTGAATTCCTTTTACCCAAGGATGCTCTGTGCCAAGTTTGGTTGAAATTGGCACAGTGATTCTAGAGATGAAGATGAAATTGCAACAAGTTTATGATGACAGGGACAAATGTCAATGATGACAGGCAATGGACAAATTATGATGAAGAAAGCTCACTTGAGCCTTTGGCTCCGGTGAGTTGAAAAATGAGGGAAAACTCAATATCAAAGCTGCTGGTTAAATTAATATTAACTATAAATACTGTCTATTAATATTTTTATTTTATTTGAATGACACTTTATATCCCCATTTGGTAATTTCAATAAAATAAATGCAACTATTATCAGTTTCATTTTTATTTCCTTAACAAAACAAAGCAGTACATGGAAAGCATTATGGCTGCATGGAAGTCATCATAGATGAAATATCAGGATGAAATTACATACATGTTTGTATTTAAGATTAAAAATTTTTAACTAAGACTGTGAAAGAAAAAAAAATCATTAACTGCCATTCCATGTAAAAAGCACTGTAAGGGGCATATATAAATAACAAAGAAAAAAAAGACCGGAAACAATTATGCTATACGCTGAAGGATAAGTGTTAATATATTAATAAAGTTTTACCTTTTATACATGTACAACCCTCTATTCTCCTTCCAACAAGATTTTGAGTCATAAAAACATGAAGGTACAAGCATAGTCTTTTTTTTATGCCAAACATACCATTTATGGTCTTTCACCAATTTTTGGATTACAAGTTTTAAAAAAAGGCATAAATCTTACAATATACATGTATCTATATTATTAATGTCAAAACATAGTCATGATTTTTATTGACAAACACATGAGTCTACTGTACCAAGATTGTTAAATCCTCCTATTTTTTTTCTATAAAATAGATCTGATTTAAGCAGCATCTGATAATGCAGCAACACCTGGGAGTGTTTTACCTGTAAATAAAAAGAAAATAAAATTAAAAAAACTTTTTCCCTTTCTTTCTCTCCTTCTCTCCTGAAAACTTTTGGTTTTTGGCAATAAATTCTGTTCAAGTTGGGTTTCACATTTTTGTTTAAGTGACACAATAACTTGATCTTACAATCCCTAGATATATACATATATTTACTACATATGCAGGGAATGGTTTGGAAGACATTTAACATTTTTTGGAATCAATTGGTCTGAGGTCAAGATAACTGCTATGAACATTTCAATTTATTTGATGTAATATATAATCTGACTTGTTTTGACCTATAAATCTCATAATTTATATCCTGCAACTACCCCTTGCATTGACCTAATAAATGTAACCTAATAAAACAAAGCTTTATTTGGTCAATGCCCTAATAAAGCCTCGAGCATGTATTCCAATGTTCTAAAAGCATTGTGACGTCATACACATTGCAATGTTTACGCTGTGGCGTCCTAGTTTCAACTGCAGAGATGTGCCTAAATCTATTGAAAATAGCTCCTTTTGGATGTCAAATGTAAAAATATGTTGCAGGATAAACAAAATACATGATAACTGTCTTGAAATATAAGCGATATTTGGGCTCGGGTCGAAAACGTGAAGGAGGGCTCGGCAAGCCTCGCCCTCCATCACATTTTCTTACCCTCGCCCAAATATCGCTTATATTTCAAGACAGTAGCCATGTATTTTATATATATATGTACACTCCATGTCATGAAGTAAATACATGGAAGTTAGTTTGAGGAAGACTGTGCATCTATAACTTTGAGGCCATATAATAAAAGATCAAGAACAGAATTATTCCTTTTCCTATGTTCCAAACAAATATTTCAACATACAGGCTTTGCATTCACTTTACAACTAAAGGATACATCTGCAAATATTGAGGCTATTTGTTCATAGGTCAAGATTATAGTTATTGATATACTAGATTAAGCAAAGTGCAAGTCACTGAACTGGGCCTGTATGATCTTGTCCATTTTGTAGTTGCTTGTTCGTCAAAGTGATAATCTTCATAAAGAGAATAATGTAACAATAATGAAAAACATAATAAAATGTCTAGTACAGAGAGATTTTGATGTACAGCATCATTAAGACAGACTGCATTGCAGAATATGCTAAAAAGTTACACTAATTATTGCGTATTTTTCATTATGAAACTTGCACTGAGAAAATTACTTGGCTCTTGATAATACTTCTTGGATGCACTACACACATGTATTCATAAATTTTATATGGCATTTCTTTTAACGATACATTGTATAATTCCCTTTTCTTGGCAAAATATCATTCATGTGGTCTATTTCATTTAAATGTTTATTTTTTTCATACCAGAATTGCATAGAAGTGTATTAATGGACAAACCCACTATTTCTGTGCCTCAGAACACATCTTAGTGCCTTAGTAATGCATTGTTTACTTGTTAAATCTAACAGAAATGACGGTTATACTCAGCAGAGCTTGAACATACACTGTACATGTACCCTTCAGGAACAGATACAGGACTCTAAGTTAGAGGGAGTGCAACTGATTAGGCAGGGGTCTGGGGCCACCTTGAGGCCCCTGATGGGGACAAAGTCTCCGGAAACTCCTAGATTCTAGGATTTTTTTAAGGGCAAGATTGCAAGAATGAAGATTTTAAGAAGACATGACTTATCTTGAATTTTAAAATTTATGGGAGGGGGAGGAAGGGGGGCACCAGGTACCGTTTGCCCCAACATATCCACCATCTCCTTTAAACAGCCTTTCAAATGAATTATATGGGTTTGTGCAAATATCATGCACCTAGTAATTGTGAATTCTAGTCACCATGGACTTCCCTTGGATCCATTACATAACTCTAAAACAATCCATCAATCCATGCCCCCTACCAACTGCTAAATATTAACAATGCAAAAAGTATATTAATAAAGGCTGCAACTCAAGACTATGAATATGATAATTTACAATGCAATTGGTATAGAGACAGTAGTCCCACTTTAAGTTGTTTAATAAATTTAAAAACACCTCCTAATACATATTAAAAGGCCATAAAAGCTGTTATTTTTAGGAACCATGGTAACATTTTTCATCCAAATCAAAAATGGATAACAACATTGTGTACCATGGTGAAGCATACATGTGTACCAAGTTCAATTAAAATCATACTTAAATTGAAGGGGGAGAAGTGTCTTGAAAGTGTTTTACAGAAATTGCTATTTTTTAAAGCCATTGCAACATCCTTAATCATAATATAATCAAAACAACCAATCAATAGAATTAAAGTCATATATGGCATATTTTTTTTTTGTAAGTTCAGACTTACTAAAAAGATCTTTCTATTTGTTTTTTTAGTTTATATATAGATAGGACTTTCCTGTAAATTACACAATTTATATCAGTTACGTTTCAAAGATATTAGAAATTTAAAACAATAACCTATTTATTTACCAACTCCGCATTTAAATAACTGACACAGTTTTAAGTCAATTTAACTATGAAAACGTGAGGTTATTCAAGTTAAAAATCAGTGAAATTTTAATTTGAACGTAAATAACATATATCATGTTTATCTACACTCAATCTCGTACTTTTATTTTTTAGCTCAGATATACCATATATAGCTTTAAGTATCTTGATATAATATACTTTTGTACTGAGTTCTTTTTAAATGTATACGTAGGATGAAGATCGAGCATTTTGAATTTTTTTTTTTACAGACGGACCAACCAGGGTCACATAACTCCTCCGGTCTTACCATTTGATTAGTACACTGTATATACACTAGATTCAACCACAACATAAAAATGGCCTATGTCATTGTAGTTAGCAAGAATTGGTGGAATTACCTGCAGGCCACAGGATCACACTGAATATCCAAACATGCAAAAATTTTCAAGTTTGGTATGAACAATTTTTTAGACAACCTGAGAGCTGACCAAAATTTGAACTTAGCTTGTCACATGACATTCAGATGGAAATACCAAGTTAAGTATAGATGTCCAGTTCATCCCCCCCCCCCCTCCCCCACCCACATAAATTTTTTTGCTGGGATATAAAAAAGTACAATGGCCCCTTTCAAACAAACTATTTGGTAAAGGTTCATATCTCCTTTCTTACAAAGTTGCAATTTGGAACACAGTTTAAATTTCAGCAGACTTACCCTCTAACAACTCTAAGCTTGCTCCACCACCTGTAGAAACATGGCTGACTTTGTCCTCTGTTCCAAACTTAGCTGCACAGGTTGCGGTATCACCACCACCTAAAACGGAACCAAACAAAAATCTAAGGGTATGTAAAAATGATTTTTTTCACTTCTCTTAAAAAAAAAATAGAAACATGTCCACAGGACATGAATACCCTCCTCACGGTGCATTTGTATTGCAACATGAAAACACACTTTAAATTGTCTCACCGATTTTTATCAATAAACACAATTTTTTTCTTAAAAATATCTTGAACACATTTTAGCAGTTGCACAAACACAAAATAGGGATAAATGAGGGCAAGGTCAAAAAAATTATGACACAGTTCAGTAGCACTCACAAAAACATAACAGTGTTTGAATTTGGGTTAAAATATCTTGAACAGTTTCTTTGAAACTGAGCAAAACTCAAAGTGTGATGGATGGAAAGACAGAAGACAGAGAAACATGACAAACACTCTATGCCTCGGCCATATTCAAGGAAGGCATAAAAATGATTCTTTGCATTCTACATGTTCTTTAGATATATATATAGAAGCCATTTAGTGATAACTTATTTAAATCAGAATTAAGATCATTCACCTTTTTGTACCCAATGCTCTTTTAAATCAAACAAATAATGTAAGTATGCATTACTGCTCAAATAAACCCTTTGAGACTTTAAAACAAGTAAAATTTGAATTTTTCCTGCTTATAATACAATGTACCAATGATTGTTGTGGCTCCTCTTTGTGTTGCTTCAACTACAGCATCCATCACTGCCACTGTCCCTTTCTTAAAGTTTTCAAACTCAAATACACCTGGAGGTCTGAAAACATCAACATACAAATTTCATTTTAAATTTGAACATGGAACGAGCAACCTGTGTAGCACGTACAGTGCAATAAAAATTTTAAAGTTTCTTTTTGTTCATGTTCAAATGTCTCTGATATTCGGTAAGTTAGACCAGAATCATCAATTGTTTGACTATAAAGTACTCTAATTTAACAAAAATTATTGTTAACAATTCTTACCCATTCCATACAATAGTTTTGGCTCTGCCTATGACCTCCTTAAATTTAGCTATGGACTGGGGACCTACATCCAATCCCTGCAAAGAAACAAAGACCATTGTTCGAGGACTCAAAAATATTCAACATAAATTCAGCATCAAATTGTGGAACAAGCTGTTATTACTTTCACTTGATTATTATTATCCTCACCATACTACCATCTGGGATCCCTGATTCTACGGTGGCGGATCCAACAGTGGCATCCTCAGCAAATTTATCCCCTGTCACAAAGTCTGAGGGGAGGGTGATTGTGACATTGTTCTTGGCAGCTTTATCCATCAAGTTCTTAATGATCTTTGATCCCTCCTCATCATAAAGAGAATTACCAATCTAGACAACATAATAAATGTGGCTTTAGGTTTTGAGAATGAGCTGACCAATCTTAACCAGATTACTAAATTTCAATACAGAATCACACTTCAGGAGTTATCTTCTCATTGAAAATGTACCAGTTAAAAATAAATTCTGATCTATTTTGCAGATTTCCCATATTTTCTTCTGCAAAGAATAATAAAAAAATGATTCAAAAAATGCCAGCAAACATTCTATTACAATGCTAAATTTGAAGTTTTTTTGACAAAAAGAACTTGCAGAAGACCTACAGACATTGATTCAGAAACTTCACTGATTGGCAAGGATTCTCCTCAAACTCACTTTAAAGAGATTCTCTTTAAACTCACCTTCATATCATTTAGAACCTTCAAAAAAGTAAAAGCCATGCCACCCCCTATAATCATTTCATTCACTTTATCCAACATGTTTTCTATCAGCTGAATTTTGTCTGCAACCTTTGCCCTGTAAGAACAAGCAATTCAAATTGACAAATGTAAATACTGGAGTCTATTTACAGTGTAACTAAGATTAGCTTTTCATGAAATATTTATACAGACGAATTAAATGCAACATGAAATTGTGAGTACTTACCCTCCTAAAATGGCTAAGAATGGCCTGTCTGGGTTTTCCAGTGCCTTTGCAAAGTAAGTTAATTCTTTCTTTAGCAAAAATCCTGATGCTCTCTGTGCAAGCTGGCACCCAACCATTGAACTATGAAGAAATGCGACATTTTTCTTTGAAATGCAAAGATATACCGTAAATCTGAAATTTTTACCGTAGATAAATTTTTAGCAGATTTGTGCGTGCAGTGCAATCGCAAAAATATTTTTCTTAAAAATAATCAGCAAAAAAAAAAAAAATAAATAAAATGTAAACAAAAATTTTGCTGACAGCTGGTGTCTATTTTTAACCCGGTGAACAAGTGTTGGTAAGCAGTGGTCATTTTATGAAGCCCGCGTTTACAACAGATTGTTAACGAGATTTGATTTAATAAAGTGTACGAAAACTTTAAACAGTTTAGATGTATTATGTCTTCTAATATTTTTGTCTGATTATTGAACGTTGGCATCGTTTAATATTATATGTACATGCGTGATTTATTGTATGTACATATACATGCGTAACTCATTAACTGTTATAAAAAAAATTTAGTGCTTTTTAATTTTAGCGCCAATGACAATTCGCAAAATGTTGAAACGTAAAAATTAATCAACAGCTTTTTGACACAAATTCACAAAAATAAATCGACGTAAAAATTTCCAGATTTACGGTATGTATCATAGCATTTCTCAACTAAACAAGAGCAATCTAATTAAAATAAACTCCTTTGATCAACTCACATACATTTGCTACCTAAAGTGATCATACGTGAGTGGATCAAAGAATCTAATTTTAATTAGACCAAAACAAGAGCCAATGGGCCTTGACCATTATCAGAGTATTGGACTCTCTGAGACATCCATGCAAGTTTTTTTTTTCTCGCTGTTTTGCCATAATTTTGTGCCCTAAATGAAATTTCAGAATTTACCCTTGTTTCTTTGTTGCTTATTCAAAACCCAAGAAGAAAGATTTTTGTCTTCCACTGACCATGAAATTCTTCAGATGACAACAATACATGTACAATAAATTTCTGAAAGTACCGTATCCCTATCATCTAAACCCAGATCCTGAATATGAAAAGAATATCATAACATTGCTAAAAGGCACTCTGCTCATTAAAATCGAGTAAACATATGTCTGAAAGATATCAAGAAGAAGAATTTCCAAGATGTTTTCCATGGAAAATATAGAAAGAGGTGAGAAGCTGGTTAAAAGGTACCAACAATATTCCTATTCTTTCTCACAGAAGTGAAAGTACAACACATTTTTTTAAGATGTACAGGTAAACTTCGTTATCTTGACATCGACGGGACCATCGGAAAATGTCGAGATATCCGAGGTGTCGAGATATCAGAGTTGAGACTTGACGTCCAAGATGCATCGCAAAACAGAAGCTTATTATATGTACATGACTTCAATATAGACTGTAGCTCAACATATTTCAGAATTCCTTCTATTTTTATTAAAAATCTAAGAAGTTATTTTAAAAATCTTGCTTATAAAACGTGTTCTTTATCGAAATCTTTCTAAATTCACAAAGTTTCAGCACAAAGTTACAGCATTCGCGTGTAACTTCTAAACTTGCCTTTTTGTCAGAACAGGATACAAAATGCCCTCTATAAACTTCGAACCGTATAAAAGTCGACATCCGATATATGGAAAAAAATTAAATGCGGATTATTTTTCTGATTTCATTCAGGAAGAATGTACATTAAAATTAATTATTTAAAGAGATTTGTGTATTTAAACTAATGTAGTGATGTTACAGATGCATGAATTACTGCTGATTCGGTCAATTGTGTCGTTAGTTGGATTGTTTCCTGTTGAATACATTTTAACTACAAAATATCATTAAAACATCTTTTTAATTCCTTCGTTTGAATTATTCAGTGTGTTTGTTATTCATTGAATTTTAGTTATCTTTTTCATATTTAAAAGTTATGTAAGGTTTCGATATATATAACCGTCTGTACATTTACGCAGAATCGTGTAGATTAAGCAATGATATTACCCAAGTTGAACATTAAGCAATTAACTTCCCAAAGTCACTGAGGGGGCTTGGGATTCACCTACAAACAGAGTCTATAGAATTAATAAGAAGCGTGCAGTCAAAACATGGGTGTGAAATTTTGACGACGTCGATATACCCAGAGTCGTCTGTGCGTGACGAGCGACCCTATCTGACAAACAGTTAGGTTCAGTAGAGCAGAAAACTGCCGATGTTGACATATACCAGGTAAATTTTGCTCTTGGGACTGTGAATATACGTCGAGATAACCCGGGTTGTCGACATTACCGAGGTCGACATATCAGAGTTTTTGGAAATCATTTATATAGTAAATACTGCCAGGACCGCGGAAGGACGTCGACATATCCCAGGTTGTCGACATATCCGATGTCGAGATACCGAAGTTTACCTGTATTTTGCAGTTTGTTGATATTTTGCAATAAAACACAATTCATGCCTACAAGAATTTTTTTTTTGAAATGAAGTTACTAACCTATGGGCTCTGTGTGCAGTTCCAAATGCATCATTAACATACACATCTCCTAGTTTGGATAGAGACTGACGGAATGCTTCCACAGCTTCTTTTGAGGCTTTGACCTATGAATATAAAAATACTGAAAAATTCCTCTGTATCTAAAGTATTACTGAAGAGATATAATATCACATTTTAAATAAATTCAAAGGCACAGCTGTAAGGCCTAGCTTTGTAGCATATTTTTCCACATATAGTAAAGCAAGCCTTATGTACTTTTTTTAGGTATATACATATATATATAATTGTAGTTTCAGTTAGGCATAACAGAATTCAAGTACTCCTCTTCTGTATGAATTATATTGATGATAACTGCTTTGAATTTTGCACAAGAAAGATTACTATCTGGCAATAATAAAGGTGCATCTTCTAGACTACATGATTGTATTCATAGAAGATGTATATATGTATTAATAGCAAGAAAAGAAGAAGTTATTGTTATAAGGTGACAAAGGATATCCAAACTACCTTTTCCCCTGCCTCGTTGACCCCTTTTCCTTCCTCCTCTACATGGAAGCGGAGATTTTCTAGGAGAATCACAGAACCAGCAGGGGGGTCGGCACACTTTGCCTCCACCTCAGGTCCTACACAGTCCGATAGAAACTCCACTGACCTGAGCATGCATGAAGGAAAGTGTGAAATCAATGTAAAAATGGTAAAAATGTAGTATTTAAAAAGACTCAATTTTTATATTAATCAAATTACTATTTTAAAAGCCAAATTTTTAGTGGAATCATGATTCTAGTGTGTATTCTTATTCTCAAAACATGAATTCTTAGGAATATTAATTGATGTACATATAAATTCACTTTAAACAGTACACTGTCTATTCCAAAATGTGAAGCAATGAATTTATGATACATTTCTTGGTTATTTCAATCTTACTTTCCTAGCAGTTTTTCCAGCTCTGCTTTAACAGGCAGTAGAGAGTATTTTTCTGAACGTTTTCCATCAGGACGGCCTAGATGACTCATCAAAACCACAGATTTAGCTCCCTTTTCCAGTGCATACTTGATTGTGTCTAAAGCTGCTACAATTCTATAAAAAAAAAAAAAACAATAATAAATAAAGGAAACAGATTTTTTGGGTATAAATAAGATAATAGCTCAAAGTGGCTGTTTTCAAGGTAATCTAGGTAAATAAAAAAAATGTATGCAATTAAACATTATAGAGAATAATAATAAAATTTAATGGGGTTTTGGGGGGGGGGGGCTTATTGGGAATGAGCATTTTTAAGCATTGTCATATGAAATTATTTATAGTCCATTATTTACTCACCTCTGAGTGTTAGTTATTTTGCCTTCTTTCAGAGGAACATTGAAGTCGACCCTGGAATTGTAACATTAGAATTTTTTAAATGTAGAAGTTTTTAAAAATCTCCATATAAAAGGATACATGTATTAAGAAAGATTGCTTTGATCGAATCAAATCAATAAAAAAATAAATTTCAAAAGTGAATTAATCATGTTAATTGTTTTTTCTTTTTTTATTTTTTCAAATCATAATGACTATACAATCCACTTTCAATTTTATAGCTATTTTACTTATTTATTACATTTCTTTATTGATAAAAGTTAGATAACACATGTAGAGATATTTATAGCAATGCACATGTTAATCATGTGCTAGATCCAGGGATGTAACGATACAGCTAAAGCATATCATGGTATATCATGGTATCATGGATTGTATCACAATAAAAATCACAATATTTCATCTTTCATAATTTGCTATATGATATGTGTCTCTGTTCTGAAATGAGAAATTCTCTATCACAATGTGAAAAGATAAAAGGTGAAGATTATTTCTTCACAAATACATTATTTAACATTTAATAAGCTCTGAACACAAGTAGAAGAAAGAGAATTAAATTATTTTTATTAGGTTAAGTTAAAAAGAAATAGCACAAATTGCTATAATGTTTTATATTGTGATACAAAGGTGTATAGTTTTTGTACAATATGGTATAATATTCTTGTGTATTGCAGAGGTATTGACATTAACTTTCAGATTCACTTGCCCTTCGGGCAAGTGATCTCAAACTTTGACTTGTCCAAATGCAAAACTTGGTTGCCCAAAATTAGGAAAGAACTTAAGAAGAAAAAATTAATTTCTGTAAACGTTATGATAAGAAAAAACTGTGATAAAACAGCAGCTACCAGTCAGTGAAAAAATAAATTGATGCTGCATTTGTACATAAATTTATACCAATGTACTCATAAATTTAACCTTTTAATGCACACTGCCATGCAGCAATAACCCTTTCCTTTTAATTTCCTTTCAATGAAATTCATATTTCAAAAAAATATGTAAACTAAATAAATATGTGCAATTCTATGAAAAAAAATTCACTTGCCCAATCGGACAAGTACGTCGACAATTTCAATTGCCCGAACTGAGAATTTACTTGTCCCGGGCAATCGGACAACTGTTAATGTTGATCCCTGTTGCGGTATACTGGTATATAATTATATCATAACACCCTTTATTAGATCCCTCATGAACTACTTGTAACTAGCTGATTTATATGCACCCAAATGCTTAAACCAATGTAAAGCAAACAACAAGAGAATTCTCACAATTATTTAACAAACTTCATGCCGATGTTCTATGCATTCATGAAGTTACTGTGTCCAATTGGCGAAGGTGATCAACCTGCATAGTTTCAACATAAGAAAACCTTCCCTTTTTTGAAAAAAATACTAAATGGCTGAAATGCATTAATGCATACATTTTATCAGTTTATTGTAAACAAGATGAAGGAGGAGGAAGAAGATGAAATTTGACAATATTCGTGAAATATTTTACATTCCGTTCCTTATCAAATGTAAGCTAGCAATAAAGCTAAGGATCAAATATTGTCTGATGAACGTGAAGCATTTAAATTCCGTAATTAACGTCAATTGTAATGTGCATGCAAATTAAACGTGCGTGGCCTTGAGAAAGGTAAAAACAAGGTCAGGAGGCCGGCTCTTGGTCTGCAGATGTTTAATGCAATAATGCTTCAGATGAATGTTTTTAATCATACCTCATAAGTACCCTCTTTCCTTTAAGATCAATCTGATCAATTGCCAACTTGTTCAGAGCCATTTTACACCACTTTTACACGAAGTTTGAAGAAGCAGTCGCTAAATTTATTTTTCTCAACCACTTTTTCTCCTTCGTAAACCAAAGAGTTCCCAGTGTGTAAAATAAAAACGGTTTATGGTGACCAGAATGATTCCGATTTGCTAATTAAGCAATGACTCTATGCGAAGCCAGAGACATGGATTTCTATTTTACTCGAGTCGCAATAAACATTTACATGCTACAAATTCTTGATATAATATTTGCAAAGAAATTGCAAAGAAAAGAAATATAAAACAAGAAATTTATGTTCAGGCATTTTTTTTTAAAATAATGCCGTTACATTTTAAAAAATAAGAGTTTTTTCTTCAGAAATCAAGACCATTTCATAAAATTTATACTACATTATATGTCATCTAATAGGATTTTATGTATTATTTAAATGTGTTGTATATATGTATTAATTGCACAGGCCCGTAGGAAGCAATTTCAGTTTGGGGGGGGGGGGGGGGGCACAGCCATACATTTTTCAGTTAGCACTACCAAAAATTTCCTGACAGGAAAAAAAAAAGTCATCAGACGTTTTTATTGAGGGGGCACAAGCATATAGTATCTATGTTTTTACTATAGTAATCTATATATCGGCCCCCCGTGCCCCCCCCCCCCCCCGGTTCCTACGGCCATGTTGCACTAAGCAAGAGTGGATTTGATATGTCCTATAGCACCGTCTCTCGTTGCTCTTTGCTGTTAATCCATGCACATGTATTATTCAATACATTTTTTAAAAGTATGATTTTCATTATTGTATATGTAACATTGGAATATCGCTCCAAGTAGAAGTGGACCAACTGATGTCCTTTAGCACCGCCTCTCGTTGCTTCTTGCTGTTTTTCTTTGTCCATATATATGTAATAATTTATCTACTGATTTTTACTTGTTAATTTTCCATTATCCTTGTAAATTTAGATGTGCCTGTACAAGTTTCTTTGTCAGAGCAAAATTGAGCATAATTAATATGACTCTGTCTCTTATGCATCCTTCCATCTTTTAATAACCAGGGATCTATGTGCTTAAACTACACACCACTGATATACTTATTTTCTACTCATAATGTTACACTCAGTATGTTGTATAAATGTTAATACAAAAATTATATGTACACAACATTTTTTTTCAACTTTCGTGTCTAGTCGTCATATTACATTATACAAGCTGAACAATGAGTTGTTTATTAGGCTACGTTGTGTCTCGTCATCACATCATTATATTACTATGTACAAACTGAACAATGAGCTAATTAGTTACATGTAAATTGTACCAATGTGTTCTATGTGTATTGATATGTAATCATAACTGTTATATGTCAGGCCCCATGAGGCCCTAATTTGGAAATAAATTCTATTCTATTCTATATTAAAAAAACCAAAAACTTAATTACGGTTGGGACTTTTTAGAATAATTAAGCATGGTATATTGTCCTTTCCATAACGTTTATACAATGTAATCCGGTTTTCCCTCCTTGAGATATATAAGATTAGCACTGGTGTACAATTTCATTCAATGTTTCGCCGAAGACTTCATTAGTGAAGTATGAGAGGCATAATTATTCAAAGATTATAGAGTAGAGATCGACGCATTTTAAAAAAAAATCTTTCTGAAAAACTTCGACAAGCAAAAGAAAAAAACTGCTGCATGTGCGTGCGTGTTGGGGGTTTTAATAATAATATATAAAAACAATATCCCATTTGCTTCATAGACAGGCCCATAGAACGCGGGGGGGGGGCATGGGGGCCCCGGCCCCCACTTTTTCTGAGTATAGTATTTTTCTATAGTAAATTTTCCGTTATATGCTGGTTGCCCCCCCCCCCTGTTTGTTGCAGTAAGGTCGTTTGGACGGTAAATAAATAACTTTTTTTTCTTTTTGCTTGTCAGATATTTTTGGAAGTTGCCCCCCCCCCCACTTTTGAAACCGTTGCTGCGAGCCAGATAGACACACTTGCATTTGACTTTTATACACTTATGCATGCTATATCTAGTGAAATTCCTACAACTTAATCTGTATTATGTATTACTGTATCAAGGAAGTTTAAACGGAAGTATATCAGAATTAACAAGTGTACACGTGTCTATCTTACTATGTGACAGCTAGAGTTGGTGTTTTTTATAACAATCATAATGGAGATTTTAGGATTTGATAACCCGGTGTTTGCCCAGTTTGCTTTCTATTCTACCGTTTTGATCCTGAAGACGATAGGACTTGCATTGCTGATCATCCGAAGTCGCATCAAACGAAAGGTACATGCATTCATCTATGAATACTCACAACACCACTCTCACTGGGGCTAGCTGCAGGGCTGTAGCTTCTGGTCTGAAAAATTTGGGATGGACGATCAGAGAGCTTCAGTGCCACCCGTTGAAAGAAGTCTATATTTATCCCATTTTTTTTTCATTCCAGCGATCTACAGATCTGCATGCATGTGTAAATGTATATTTTTATCGTGCATAATTTGAAATATAGTTCCAGTGTTTCAAAATCTACCTACTGTTATTATGAAATACAGATTGTATTATTATTTTTAAAGTTTGTTCGAATTTTCATGTTTCCAACAATAGATAAAGGTACATTTGTATGTGTTCATTCCAGGTGTTTGCATTTCCTGAGGATTGTTCACAAATTATTGTAGGAAAACATCACCTTAAACCAACCTCAGACGATGCTTATATAGAGAGATTACGAAGGTATATAATTATTAAATAGATATTGAATTAAGGTGGCTCTGTAGACAATTAATGCACACTACAGAGTTCTAATTTCATGATCATTAATTTTGTGCAGTAAGATTTACCTGCCCTTAGATGTAGTTCAGTTCAGTTCTTTATTCCGTGGGACATACATCCCATAGGCATTACAGTACAATATTGTATATTTATCAGTTACATACATAGATGTAAGAAAAAATATTATGGTTTATATTAGAGGTGTAACATTACGTCGATGTATTGTGATGCAGAGAGGGTCAATTTGATTCGTCGATACATAAAATAAAGCATCGATGTTTTTCGATACTTTCTGGAAGTATGAAATGTACATATTTTGGTCTTAGATTATTTGAGTTACCAATATGTCGGAACTCATTAAAAATCCAAAAGAAAAGTAAAATTATATTTCTTAGCAGATAAAAAACTTTAGATCTTTATTTGGCTTTATTTCTTTCTTTTTTTTTTTTTTGTTTTTTTTTTTTTGGTTTTAACCAACAATTATATCAAATTAAAACAAGAGGCCCAAGGGCCTTAACGGTCACCTGAGTACAATACAACAATTTAGAGGATCCATAAACTGATAAATGAAGCTTTAATTGTTGCCCAAAAGCAAGAAAAATAGTATGATAAGCATCAACAAAATAATTGGTATAGAATCTATCTGTCCCCCATTTATCACTATTACCATGCAGACTACTTAACAAAATGTCTATTTTTAATCCCAATTTACTACTTCTCACATTGGTCTCTCTTGGCCTTTGAAGAACATTAAAAAAGATAAGTTATTTTGCCTCACTTTTATTCATCTATTATTTCCAAGTCTACCTGATCATTAAAACTATGAAAGTACTTTTTGTATTATACAATAAATATTCTTGCATAATTCTCTTATTCTATTAACCTTTCAAATACATTATTTACTGTGATTAATTATCAAAGGCGAATGGCAAAGGGGAATAACTTTGCTCAGCAGAGTACAAGTTCATAGAGCCCTGGCCAGGACCAGAACACTTGACTAAATAATCCAGGTGTTCAAAATTCTGGTAAAAATACCCTTGCATATTAAAACTTTTACTCTGTTTGCCTTGAATATGCCCAGAAGCATAGAAGATTTTCAAAGAAATGCATGTTCACTATATAATTAAATAAATAAAGCCCCCTCCCCCCTTACACCAGAACATCTTACCCAGGGGCCATGAACTCACAATTCTGGAAGAAGAACTTTGCTCATCATAACTATACACTTGTTTCTTTGCTTTATTACCAGTAGTAGAAAAAATATTTTGAAAGAAATTATGCATTTTCACCATAAAATCAATAGAGCCCCCCTTTACCAGAACCCCTGACCCAGGGGCCATAAATTTCACAATTTTGGAAGAGGCATTCTTCCTTATCATAACCATGCACTTCCTTTGTTTGAATAATACCCAGGAGCAGAGAAGATTTTGAACGAATTTATGCATTTTCACTATATAATCAAAAGAGCCCCGCCCTAACACCAGAACCCTTCACCCAGGGGCCACGAAATTCACAATTTCTGAGGAGGCAGCCATGCTCATCATAAATATGTACTTAGTTTATTTAATATGTAGGAGAGAGAAGATTTTCAAAGAAATAATGCATTTTCACTATATAGTCAATAGAGGCCCGCCCTAAAACCAGAACCCCTGACCCTGGGGCCATGAAATTCACAATTTTGGAAGAGGCACTCTTGCTCATCATAACTATGTACTTAGTTACTTTATTTAATATCCAGGAGCAGAGAAGAAGATTTTCAAAGAATTAATGCATTTTCACTATATAGTCAATAGAGGCCCGCCCTAAAACCAGAACCCCTGACCCTGGGGCCATGAAATTCACAATTTTGGAAGAGGCACTCTTGCTCATCATAACTATGTTCTTAGTTACTTTATTTAATATCCAGGAGCAGAGAAGAAGATTTTCAAAGAGTTAATGCATTTTCACTATATAATCAATAGAGCCCTGCCCTAACACCAGAACCCCTGACCCTAGGGCCAGGAAATTCACAATTCTGGAAGAGGCACTCTTGCTCATCATAACTATGTACTTAGCTTCTTTATTTAATATAGCAAAAAAGAAGATTTTCAATGAATTAATGCATTTTCACTATATAATCAATAGAGCCCTGCCCTAACACCAGAACCCTGACTCTGGGGGTCATGAAATTCACAATTTTGGAAGAGGCACTCTTGCTCATCATAACTATGTACTTAGTTACTTTATTTAATACCCAGGAGCAGAGAAGAAGATTTTCAAAGGAATAATGCACTTTCACTATATGATCTATATAGCCCCACCCTAGCACCAGAACCCCTGACCCTGGGGCCATGAATTTCACAATTTTGGTAGAGGGCTCAATGCTTACTACAATCATGCCAACAGTTTGACTGCTTGATGTCCAGGAGTAAAGAAGAAGATTTTTAATGACTGCATTAATTTTGGTGGTTTTAGCCCCAGCCCTCAGGCCCCAGGGGGGCAGGGACCACGAAATTCACAATTTTTGTTCCCCTTCACCCATAGATGCTATATGCCAAATTTGGTTGAAATTGGTTCAGTGGTTCAAGAGAAGAAGCTGGAAATGTTCAAAAGTTTACGACCGACGGACGACGGACACCGACGGATGAAAACAGATAGCAATAGGTCACCTTAGTGACTCAGGTGACCTAAAAAAAAAAGAAAGAAAGAAATATGCTGAAATCTGTATTTTCTTTATCAAAATCATTTAAACAATTGAAAAAAGCAGCAAATATAAAAACTTGATATATCATGATATATTGCAAAAATTTTCTTTAAAATCGTAATAAACATCATGATACTTTTTCCCGTCATGATACACATGCAGTCCTAATAATTATATGGAGACGCAGTTTTAAGATAAACAGCATTCTTAACTTTATATTAGACCAAGGTAAAGTAACTGAATACTTTATTTGTATGAATTTGCATGATTTAAACAACAATTATTTTGTAACTTTTTTCCCTGGGAATGGCAGGTATATTCTCTGTTGAAAATGAAATACGTTACATACATGTATACACTTAATATGTACATTTTTATATGATATATGTATTATAATATTTTTTTCAAAGCCCGAAAAAGTTTTCTTTGGTGTTATGAACCTCTTTAAGCGCACTATTGATTGTTTTTCAAACTCTTTTTTGAGCCATGAAATCTCTGGGTGAAGAACTATAAACTGCTTATCGTTGTGATTGATGCATGGATGGATCCATATCATTCAAGTTTTCATTTCCTTAAATAACAAATGAACTTTATGTTAATGAATATTTCTATTCATATTGTTTTAGGTGTCATTTAAATAATCTGGAAAACGTCTTCCCATTTGTGACGGTTGGTCTGCTTTACGTTCTGACAGAACCGGAAGCTTCAACAGCTGCTCTTTACTTCCGGATTTTTCTCTTGTCACGTGTTGTGTACGACATAGCATTTATACGGGCTCTTCCACAACCTTCAAGGACTTTTTCATATCTCACCGGAGTTATTATCATATGTATTATGGCTTGGTCAGTCTTACAGAAAGGAACCCTATAAAAACATTTTTATATAAGTGGTGACTGTTTGATATAAGAAATATACTGAATTTGTTATTTTAAAAATTAATTTATGAAAGATCTTTTAAAAATTTTGTAAAATGTCTGTGGAAAGAATTTTTGAAAAAAAAAAACAAAAAAAAAAAAAAAAAAAAACAAACCAATAAAAAACCAACAAATCCAACATATCAATTAAGATATTTTATTTTCCATGCACATGTTTCAAATAGAGGTAGAGGGTAGACAAATGAGTCGCATTACATTGCTTTTTGTTTTAGGCATGGTTGGACAAGATTGTTGTCTTATATTCATTAATATTATCAAGTCAAATGCATTCTCAATGTATTCAGATCCATAAGAATGATTCCACCAAAGATGGTTGACATGATTGCTATGGCAACATATCCAATACCCCGAGAGCTCATGCGCGAGTCATCTACGGAGATTTTCTGTCTGATGGCGATAGAAGTATTTTTGGGAGGGATGCGTATGGTGTCTACGATGTGTTCAATAATTTCTGTCAGATTTAATTTCGTGGTCGGCTTGTGACATTTACAAACACATTCTCCGAATTCTGAAAATGAACAAAAACCAAATGTAAATACTGTTATGAAGTCTGGTTGTAAAAATCAGTTGTTTACATAGCAAAAATTATCGTTTGGAATCGGATTCCTTGTCGGAATTCCTATACATCTTAGGTCTAAGGGTTAGTGAAAGACTATAATTAAAATGTATCAAAAATACTGTTCAAAATATACATTTCCATTGCTGTCAAGCATCAATAGAACGATAAGATATACATGTACTATATTATATAAATACTGCAACTACATGCTGTGTTTATCACATTATATTAAATTTTTTATACAAATAAATATAACACTGAACCGTGAGCGCATAAATTCTGCACAATCAATATTTTTTTGAATATCACCCGTCGTCAAGCAATGTTGACTGTTGCTTCGCAGGAGGAATCAGTTCAACTAATTTACATGAAGGTATAATATAAGAAAATGCAATTGTGACATATAAAAACGCACTCAAAAAATGTGTTTTTTTAAAAGATCAAAAACGGGTAACCGGGTCCGTTAATGCTGTTGCGTGCGTGTTTTAGCTCACCCGAGCTGAAAGCTCAAGTGAGCTTTACTGATCACATTTTGTCCGTCGTCCGTCTGTCTGTCCGTCCGTCTGTAAACTTTTCACATTTTCGACTTCTTCTCCAGAACCATGCACTGGGCCAATTTCAACCAAACTTGCCACAAAGCATATCCTTGGGTGAAGGGGGTTCAATTTTGTTCAAATGAAGGGGCACCCCTCTTCCAAGGGGAGATAATTAAGAATTGGTGAAAATTTGGTGTCTTCTTTTAAAAATCTTCTTCTCAAGAACCATTGGGCCAGAGAAGTTGAAACTTAAGTGAAACCTTAATTACATAGTGTGGATTCAATTTTGTTCAAATCATGACCCATGGGGGTAGGGTGGGGCCACAATGGGGGATCAAAGTTTTACATAGGAATATATATGAAAATTCTTTAAAAATCTTCTTCTCAAGAACAACAAAGCCACAATTAATCATATTGATATGGAATCATCCTCAGGTATTGTAGATTCAAGTTTGTTCAAATCATGACCCCCGGGGGTAGGGTGGGGCCACAATGCGGGATCAAAGTTTTACATAGGAATATATAGGAAAAATCTTTAAAAATCTTCTTCTCAAGAACCACTGGGTCAGAAAAGCTGAAACTTATGTGGAAGCGTTCTGGGGTAGTGTAGATTCTAAATTGTTCTTATCATGACCCCGGGGAGTAGGGCGGGGCCACAATAGGGAATCCATTTTTTACATTGAAATATGTAGTAAAAATCTTTAAAGAAGTCTTCTTCTCAAGAACCACTGGGCCAGAAAAGTTAAAACGTATGTGGAAGCATTCTGGGGTAATGTAGACTCTAAATTAATCAAATCATGACCCCCGGGGGTAGGGCGGGGCCACAATAAATACTACAAGGGGGGGGGTCAAGTGAAAAACAGCAAAGCTAAAGTTACTCAGGTGAGCGTTGTGGCCCATGGGCCTCTTGTTTAAACTTGTTTTGTTTAAAATAAAAACAGATTTTCACTCTAAAATATCATATCCATAGCCGCAGTGTATGATCTTGACATCGTCCTGACCTTGTCACTGAGTCAAGGTCATTACACATCTTTAGGCCGTCAGCATCAATATCCAGATTTAAATCATTCAAATTCAAGATTCCACAGTTATAGCAAGAATAAGATTTCACTTCACTATCTCCTTGCCAAATGGCATTGACCTTTAAGATGTGACCTTGAGTCATCAGCAACAATAACCTAATACTCAGATTGATTTATAAATATATTTTCAAATCAGGGATTCCTTATCTTTTAACCCAGACATCAAAAAAAATTATATCATTGCTCAGTGTGACCATATTTTTCAGATCCTTGAGTCTGGTTTCACACATTTTGTGATAGAGAGAGACAAATATTGACATACATCTCCTGTCTTTGGGGGAGACACACACACTCACATAAACACAAATAATAGCCAAAGTAGCTGTAGAACTGTAAAACGGGGGTTCTGATCGCTATGGAAACCACAATAGCTACTCTGGGCTTAAATTTCATTTAAATGCTACTAGGATTATTTTATTCTCCCCGTGTAATGTGATGCGTTGGTAGTTATTGTAGTGATCGATGCTATATATATAAACTTCAGATTCTAATGTGAAACAAATGTGTAATAATGTGATTGATTGTCCTATTAAGTGGAGGAAACTTCAATAAATACAGAATGTTGTCCCCCATGGAACTTTCTCTAAAGAAATAAAATTTTGTGTTTTCTTTTATATATATACTTTGATGTCGAAGAGAAATCTTGAAATATCCATAAAAGATATCGAATACAAGACATATAGTTTGTTCCTGGATTTTTCGATTTAAAGGAGAACGAATACTGTCAAAATAAACTTCAGCAAAAACAGAAAATCGTAAATCAGTTAATTATTAAAATAAGATCCCTATACAGTTGTATTATACCGGCCAGAGAATAGTAAGAAAGCTTGATGTTGAATCCAGCCTATTGTCAGGGCGAAGAGTTCCTGGACCCTCTATGAACACTGCGACATTTAAGTCCAGACACGACATAGTCCGGACTTTTAGGTACCCTTTCAAAAAGACATAATTTAAAAATTTTCCTGGATTTTGGTGGGATTTTTTATTCTCATCTCATCATGTCAATCTTAACTTCCACAATGTTGTAGTTTTCTTATAAACTTCTCCCAAAACTTAAAATCCCATAGGAGAATGGGGGATTTTTCATCCCACCTGAAATCCCACCAAAATCCCATCAATAACATTTCATCAAATTTACATATTAATCTATAGTAAAATCTAATAATTGGACCCACTATCATCTTCCAACACCTAAAGCATATGTGTATACCCTTGGAGATAATTATATTTTATATGATCCTACAGATCGGGATCGAGTTTAATTGCATCATGCAGGTGGGTGTGTATACTGGGTCCCCATAATTTTCCCGACCCCCAACTTCCCGTTCCAACTTTTTTTTTTATGCCAGACCTCCAACTCAAAATGCTAATGACATTGTTTCGTATGACTTTTATGTTTACTGATCGAGTGAATGGATGAAAAAAATGAGAATAATTGAATAGAAAAACAAATTTCTTAACCTGGTGGGCTTTCGTCGTATGAATCATTGCAAAGTCGTCTATTGGTAGCACACTGGCTAATGGGGACTAAGGGACACAATCGGCGGAACTTGGTGTTGGTTGTTTCCAGCACAGCTGAAAAAGAAATACAAATGTCACAAAGTGTTAAGTTTGAGATTACTAGTATAACAATTAAAAACTTCAAAAATATAAACATATTTAAATTCTGATAATAGTAAACAATCATGAATATATTTGCAATGGGTTTACAAAAAAAAATCCATTCAGCAAGTTATTTACAAATTTAAGGGCCGGTGTAAAATTTTTTTTACCCACATGATTACAATGTATTTCGGAATTGACAATAAACTACATGTATTAATATATTGAGTTATTCTCAAGAATACATGGTTTTTACAAAATATCATACCTTGGATGTCGCATCGTTTGATGAACATCTGGTGATTGGAATCGGATGGACGGTGGTACTTGTCCAAACGATACAAGTTGTCACTCGTCATTAGTCCGCAACTTTTGATGACATCATTATAATTGAAGCCAGAGCAACGATGACCAGTTTCTGAGACGAAATTGTCACAGGCGATCTTACAGATGGAAACGCTGGCATTTTCTATGTGCAGTGATGCCATGATGTTACCAAATGCTTTGTATTTGACGTCATATAGACAAGCACCTGTCAGGAAAAAAAACTGGACTGTATGCAGATGCTGAATTGTAGTTTTATTAGAGTGTTAACATTATTATGATGGCAATTTAAAATATTTGGCTTTAATTAAGTTATATCTGGATTTTGATTGATTTTTAAAAAAAATTATATCTCTTTTACATTGACGGGAGCTTATCCTTTTTAGATCACCTTATAGTCAAAGGCTCAAGTGTGTGAGCTGTTCTGATCAAAATTTGTCCGTTTTCTGTCGTAATCATAAACTTTTCACAATTTTATCTTCTTCTTCCAAACCACTCGGCCAGTTTTAACCAAACTTGCCACAAAGCATTATTGAGTGAAGGTGGTTTAAGTTTGTTCAAATCATGACCCCTGGAGAGGGGTGGGACCGAAATAGGAGATCAAAATTTTACAATGGAAAATATAGGTGGGAAACCTTAAAAATCTTCTCAAGAAAAGTAAACGAATGATTAGTCATATTAAAAAGAAATTATCCCCAGGTAGTGTAGATTTAAATGTGTTCTAATCATGACCCCCAGGGGTAAGGTTGGGTTCCTAGAAAGTTATAGGGGGAAAATCTGCTGAAGAACAGCTGGACCAGAGTGGTGAGAGTTATGGCCCCTGGGTCTCTTGTTATTATCTTTTATTTACTTTTTTTTTTTTGAATTTATCCATTTGTTTGCATTTAGCTATAGATATTCAAAATGTGATTGTTCATATTAGTGTAGAAGATGGTCAATAACCTTTTATTTTTTTTTTTTTTTCATTTAGGGGGTGGGGTATCTTCCTTTTTATTCTTGATTATACATTTTAGTCCCCCTTTTATGTAAAAACATTTTATTTTTCATTAAATTTCCCTCTATTTTCATTTTTAAAATATATATATATATATATATATATATATATATATATATATATATATATATATATATATATGACATTCCTTCCATCTTAAATCTTAAAATTACGTACCATGGGATTCCTCGCACATAAACATTTTCTCATTCTGAAAGCAGTCTGCTGTCTCAAACTTCACTCGCATCTTTTTCAAACTGCCGTACATGCAGTATCTCTGGTCGGTTACGTCAGGAGGACGCGTGCCCCATAACGCAAATGATGGCTCTTGGCAAGAACCCTCCCATTCAAAGCGGGATCTTATCTTCTTCATTGGTGCATGGAGTCCAATCCAAAATTGTGGATCTCTGTGTACATTGGAAATGCATGTAATTATTTTACGCAATAAGCCATGCTAAAGAAATCACTTCTTACATGTACAAGTCTGTTGGCTGTAGGAAACAATTTCAGTGGTGGTGGTGGGGTCATCAGGCGTCATTTTTAGAGTCACAACCATTAATGAGTTGTTTTTTTTTTTTTTCTAATTTAGCTTTTTCTTATGTATAGTGTAGTATATAGTGGCGAAATTATTGAATGTGCACAATTATAAACTTAAATTTCGTTTTCTACAGTAAAGTATAAACTGGCAAATTTTGGGAGAACACCCCCCCCCCCCCCCCAGTTCCTACGGGCCTGTCTTAATTTAATTCCAGTATTCAGCCTTGAAATTTCTAGCTAAACTCTTACCCTTTCTAAAAAATGAGATGACAGTCTCTAGTATACTACATGTATATTTAAACTTTAAATATGTTCACCAATATCATATTTTATAATATTTTTTCTCACTTTGTTTGAATGATCATTTGATCATGAATGTCTGTCTAGGAGTGGAAGTGTTATTATGAGTAGAAATCAATTATAAATGAAACTGTAATTATTAAAACACTCGTGCAGTTTTACCCGATTGTGCTCCATGGTTCTTTGGTCAAAAAGTATTGTAGGACATCCAGTCTCTTCTTAGAATTAATGGTCAACAAAGTCTGATTGATGGCGCGACAGAATCGTTGTGCTTCGTTCCACGTTACGGATGTTGTATATAAAGTCACCCTAGCCGTTTGAGTGCTGCTTTGGCAAACATGTACACCTACAAAAACAATCGTATTTTTCTATATGTACCAGTACAGGTTATATATAAACGATACTGGTAGGTTCCCTATATATTCATATATTAACATATTTTACAAAATCATACGTTACTCACAATTTTCTTATACAGTGTATTAATTGTTGACTTTTTAAAACAAATTTAGTCAGAATTTACATATAGGTACCAATTAAGCCAAGTTAAACATGTACTTACATATTTTACCTAGCAATCCAATGATGAATAAATAATCCATTATTATTATTTTCTTTTATTTTGTGATATGTACATCGATCTTGAGGGGAAAAAAAGAAACACAATGTTATTCAAGTCCAAGTCCATATTATTTTACCGAAATGTGTGTGTGTGTGTGGGTGTGTGTGTGTGTGAGGGTGTGTGTGTGTGTGTGTGTGTGTGTGTGTGAGAGAGAGAGAGAGAGAGAGAGAGAGAGAGAGAGAGAGAGAGAGAGAGATCCACTTACCACAGACAGTATCCACCAATAAAGAATGAAGGTGTTGATATAATCCATCGGTGATCGATAAATGAATGAAAAAAATGTATTTGCTGTACGTCATGATCATATAATATGTTAAGAAAAAATGTATCAGCCTTTCATTGTTTTATACACGTTAAGAAATTAAATATAATTAAATTTAGATTATATTCTTCTTCGTCTGTTCATTATGACCATGTAATGGGGTATGAAGGTTATGATAAAAGGAATAAAATCAAGTAACGTCAAATCTTCATATCCATTGTAGAGTTCGTATGATAAAGCAAACACATATGTTTTGCGTGTAAATAATTTTATATATAACGTTATAGAAATACTGAAGTCTTGCTATTGTAAAATTAAAATATAACATTAAACAACAAGTATTTTTTAATCTTATTGGTGAACCTAAATGTTACATTTAAAAAAAATATGACATAAAGATTTCATAAATACTATTCAATTAAATATATTTTCACAAAGACATAAAAATTCATGTATATTCCGATTTTTAAAATTGCCGCCATTTACTTACTTATGCCGGAATTATCCGAAAGAATGGCATTGTGGGTAAATATCTTGGAAGCGTGCACGATCAAGGAAAAAATCGAAAGAAGGCGTCACATTGAAATTATGATGGTCATTTAGGGAGGAAAATAGTAGAACATTTATTTTTTAAGCAGATCTGTTGTTTAAGGTAAGTTGTCAACGTAGAGAAAACATTTTAAAGTCAATTTAAAGCATGAAAATATAATTACGGGCGATAACTTCCAAGCTATAACGATGATGGCGATTGTGTGGTTAACTGCCCTTGTAGTCAGTGGGCAAGGGCGACAATTGATTGCGTCGATAGCGCTATTCAGTACATGTAGAGCAATTGTAGTGCATCAATCTTGTTGTTTCAGTTATAATTTTCAATGTGTTTCTTTGATTCTGGGGTATATTTTACTAATTTGGGAGCACATTCTTTTGTTTCCGCTTGTCAATTCAATATGGCGGAAAATTTATGCTCAAACGATAGAGGCCCAGCCGGTTGAACGATTTCTCTAGCAAAGCCATTATACGATCATCTCCGAAACAGTAATGTTCCACATGCCACAATAAACACGAGATCAATGATTTGATACTGATGACCAAAGTACAACTACAATTTTTTTTTTTAATTTCAGCTTTTTCTTTTTAATGTGGACAAAAATGTTTTGAAAATGCTAGGCTATGTAATGTAGGTCATGGGTCATAGTTCATAGACACCATGTGACAACAGTTGCTGCATATTTATGCATGCTTGCAGTACACATTTTTAATGAAAATTTCTTAACTCAATATTTAAATGAAACAAGTACAATTAGAGTATGTATATATATATATATATATATTATTTTTTTTTAGAATGGAAAATATAGGTGAACAAAGTGTTGATGTCAATATTTCATCAGGGAAACCCCAAGAGGTATAAATTATGATTAAATTTTTTTGGTCATTGTTATTATTATAATTTTTAAAGAAACCTGGCTAAATGTTACTATAAAAGTGATGATTATTTCTGTAATCATTACCTATGAACATGTTTTAAATGAGAAAAATTCATGCACAAAAGATGTACAGAAAGTGTAAAGTTAAAATTTTTTACAATTTGATAGAATAAATTTAAGAAATTAAAAGAAAGTATATAGTTTTATAAGGATACGATGTCAATACCCATTTTTGAACCATCACTTTATGCAATAAACAATATAAATTCATAAATAGAGAAAATAAAGGATATATATTTATACGCTTCATATTTTTTATTTTCTAGATCAACAATGCAGCAGATGGCATATTGGAAGAAATTCCTGTGACCTCAACTAATGGCTTTCCCGATATGAACAGTCAAATAACAGCAGTGCAAGACACAACTGAAACAGGGGATCTAGGTACATTATGGATGGGTTCTTGAGGAGTGAATCTGATGCTCTGGCTTGATTCTTAAATTTTGAATCTATGTCATGAATGATTAAGGACATATTAATGTTTAATTCTGCATAAACAGGGGTTGAAATATACAGTAGCCTGACGCCCAGGGCTAGTCATTTTAAGACTTGGGATAGCTAATTTAAATGTAACGATAGTCCGTTGGACTAGCAGAACAGAATTTTTTTTTTTGATCATCAGTTTACCGTAGCATTTCTATATAGACTGGTTTCTTTTGACTGAGAACTAAGTTAATTTGTTCCTGTCACCAAAGCGTTTGACACTTTAATTTGTTACGTTTTCAGTTTGCAGGAAAATTGTTAGACTAGTTAGAGATTTGGGCTAGTAAATTTTTAATGATCAGTAGCCCTTGGGCTAGTGGGTTTTTCAGAAAAATTGCAACCCACTGATAAATGGTAGAAATGATTTTAAAAAGATATACTGGTAGTCACATGTCTAGCTTCAATCAATATTGAAATTCTTACAAATAATGCTGTTTTTAAAGCAAAAATTTTGGACAAGATGTTGAATTGATTTAATTTACACCTGCTTTTATACAATCTCTCTCTCTCTCTCTCTCTATACATATATATACCAGGTACATAATCACATTTAAAGCTATTCTTCTTTTGTTGAATGTTTAGGAGCTGTAACCCTGATCCCGGAGACACAAGTGACATCACTTCCAGATACGCAGGTCATGACACAAGACCTAGAACAATTTATGCAGCAAACACAAGAGTCAATGTTAATGTCCACCATAGAGCAGAATGTAGTTGAAGAAAAAACAGAAGAGAACCCAAATGCCCAAGAGCCAGATTCTGCTGTGGAACCAGAAAGTGCACCAGGTTTGGTTTAGTTTTGATGAGATTATTTTGTTGTTAAATATTTAAGCCATTTGGAGACTTAATGAAAAATTGGAAATATATAATTTTTCTAATGTAATTTTAATTATATTATTACTGTATTTATATATGAATGCTTGAATTTCAGCTGGTAAATTATCAAAAGTGAAAACAGTAGAATTACATTCTTTTTCAATTTTGTTTTGCTTGCTTTAAAAAAAATTGTCATTCTTTCAGCTGATGACATTGAAGAACTTGTTAGTACAAATGTCCTTATACAGGTTACTACTGGTAGGTGAAAAATTATTTTATATTTAGGAAAGTATATATAAAAAAGAAAGTGTTCATATTCATCAGAAGTAAGCTTTCTAACATTAATATCATACAGAATAACTCATAAGAAATGTGTTGTAGAAATAAATGCAACTGAGTTCATATTTTGGCACTTATGATGCATCAGTTTAATAGTCTTCACCTCAAATCTTATTTTGATAGAATTATTTTTATAATCATTCTGAATAGGCTAATTCTTGATTAATCAACTTGGCAAAAAGTGCATTGATCATGTTTATGTACATTTTGAACTATTAATTTCTATAACATGCATTTTTGAAAAAATTGTTCCAGTAAATATTTTGATAAATTGTTCTATTTATTAACACTGCAACAATTTTTTTTGTTGTAGAGGGTGTAGTTGTTCAAACATCTGAAGGTGAAAAAGAGGTAAGACGAGAATCATTATTACTAGTGTCACTGAAGTTCTCTAATCCCAAGAAACAATGTAATGTAACAATATAGTTGTTATATTTTACTTTCGTGGATGTTAAACATGGATTGTTCATATTAAAAGGCAGTTGATTTTGAGACTGCCTGTAAACTTTTACATTGTTGATCTTCTAGTTTACTACCCTGATCAAGAAGATCAAACACAATGCAAATGTAAGGCTTATGATTTGAGCATCTAAAATATGTGTACGATTTCTCTATTTATTCATCAAATTTTTGTTTTTTCTCCATCAAATGTTTGAAAAACTGGAATTTTCATAGCTGTCAGTCTTAAGTATTCATTATTATAATTATAAAAGATGTAGTCCCTACAACGTTTGCTTGTATTGTCATGACCATTTATAGGAGGCTGGCTGACTTGCAATCTAAATCATTTTAATGTTTTAAAGTAAACAAAAAATCTTCAGTGGTTGGAAGCCTAGATGGCCTCTTGACCCCATCCTTGCTATTTTTCATTTTATGATGTTGGCAGCTCTGGGTAATGGATGCAAAAATCCTACAACATGAAAAAATAAACTACAAAATAGTTAAAGATGTCATTCTAAGTATATTTGGGGGCCTATGTCATCTTTAAATCTGCTTTTTTTTTTTTCATTTATTCAGTTGACTTCAGAATTGTGTCTACTAGATACATAGATCTAGATTATGTAGAGAGTCAGATATAAAAAATGTAATGAAAAAAGTGGTCGAACGTACAGTGGATCTTTTCAAAAACATTGAGACTCCTAAAACCTTTATCAAAAAGAAATATTTTGTGTGACTGTATCAAAAATAGAAGATGAACATATTGATGCTACACACATTTAAAAGGGCAGCAGTTTAGTATTATACTATGTTGTATAAAAGTTAGATTTTTATGTAGTCTTCTAAGTCATTATTACACTATTTCTTCAGCTAGATGACATGAAGTATGTCTTTATAATGATCTCTTGAATATTCTTAAATTAGGTCCTTAAATTGTTACTTGTTATATATTTTACTATGTTTTAGGATCAAATTTATAAAATCAAAAAAAAAAAGTGATATAAAAATATATTATTAATATTAAGTAAGTTATGAAATATACCCACTATTTTCAGACATGTAAACATTCAGTACCAAGTAATTCTTTATATGTAGCTTATAACACTAGTTTATAAATAAATGTTTGTTGTAAATGTATGCACTATAAAAATGTTATACTTCATTGATTTATACCAAGGTTGCAAATAACCACTTGCTCACTCACAAATATGAGTAATATTGTCTGTGGGCAACCAACTATTTAAGCATGTTATCACCCACATGGCGAGTAAGAATTTTGTTGGACCTTTTCCAGAACCTGATAATGGTTTATTTCCACTTTTAAATGCACTTTTGTTTTAACTGTTTTCTTCCTATAAAATATTTTCAAGACCCAGAATTGTGTCGATGATACTCTTCCTTAAAAGTACGAAAATTCCTTCAACATTTATTTAATTTTCCTTGTTTGTATCAACAGTAGCAAGTTTTCATCCATATCCTATTGAAATGCACACTGTATATTATTAGCTCACCTGAGCCGAAGGCTCAAGTAAGCTTTTCTGATCAAAATTTGTCCCTTGTCTGTCATTGTCGTCGTAGTTGTTGTCGTAAACTTTTCACATTGTCATCTTCTTCTCCAGAACTACTGGACCAATTTCAACCAAACTTGGCACAGAGTATCCTTGGATAAAGGGGATTCAAGTTTGTTCAAATGAAGGGCCATGCCATCTTCCAAGGGGAGATAATTGCGAATTCATGAAAAATTTATGGCATCTTTCAAAAATCTTCTTCTCAAGAACAACTGTGTTAAAAAATATGAAACTTATGTGGAAGCATCCTCAGGTAGTGTAGATTCAAGTTTGTTCAAATCATGACCCCTGGGGGTAAGGTGGGGTCACTCACAGTGGGCGATCAAAGTTTACATAGGAATATATAGGGGAAATATTGAAAAATCTTCTTCTCAAGAACAGCAAAGCTATGATTGGTCATATTTATATGGAAGCATTCTCAGGTGGTGTAGATTCATTCAGATTTGTTCAAATCATGACCCCTGGGGGTAGGGTACGACCACAATGGACGATCAAAGTTTTACACAGGAGTATATAAGAAAAATTTCAAAAAATCTTCTCAAGAACAACAAAGCTATGATTGGTCATATTTATATGGAAGCATCCTCAGGTGGTGTAGACTCAAATTAGATCAAATCATGACCCCTGGGGTAGGGTGGGGCCACAATGGACGATCAAACTTTTACATAGGAATATATAGGAGAAATCTTAAAAAATCTTCTTCTCAAGAACAGCAAAGCCATGATTGGTCATATTTATATGGAAGCATCCTCAGATAGTGTAGATTCAAGTTCAGCGTTTTTTTTCCTTATATAAGTGGTACCGATAAATGGTACCATTCCCAATGCCAAAAAACGTTAATTTTTCCCTATTCTGAGATAAAATTTCCCAATTCAACTGCCAAGCAACAGACTATGATGGCATCATATTTCTTTTTAAATGAAACATTGTACAAGTTGACTAATTCTTTCACTTCCGCTTAAATCGAAAGTAGAGATTAGTCATAATATAGCGGTACCTGTGGTGTAGCGTAGTGTCATACATTTTGACAAATTGAAAGCATGAAAATGCGAAAAACAAGGGACATTGATTTGAAAAACAATAAATACTTGTTTATTCTTTTAAACACGGAGTAATAGGTAATGAGGTTGGAATAAACGGAAAATATGTTTTATTTGTTTAATGACAGAAAATTCTCCTTTGTTCTACTTCGATGCTATTTTTCCCAATTGAACCATTACCGGACCCTTTCCCAATGGGTAGAAAAAAATCGCTGAAGTTTGATCAATTGATGACCCTCAGGGGTAGGTAGGGGCCACAATGAAAGTTTAAACTTGTAAGAAAAAAGTCACAGTTAGTCAAAAAAAATGTAAGCATCCTTAGTTAGTGTAGATTCAATTTTGTTCAAATCATACCCCTGTCCCTTTTAGGGGTAGGTCAGGACCACTTATGCATTTAAGCTTTGCAATACTAAACTGATTCTTGCTTTTTTTCATAGCCACAGTGCTCAGGTGAGCGATGTGGCCCCTGGGCCTCTTGTTCACAATTAGCAGCTTTTTATTCATTTATTTTTTTTTCCGAAATAAGTGTGTTGAAGACGTTTTCTGTTTTTTTGCTGCAAACATGGTAGTTAGAATAATCAAACTGTGTCTCAGGACAAGCCCTCACCACACCAGGTCCGTAGGACAATATCATTTTAATATTAGAACTGTCTACTACCATGAGTAAAAATATTTCACGTTACGAACTTTATAAAGTTGATAAAACATGCTCTGTGTAATTTTACAGTAGAATTATATAATTCAAAATACATGTCTTGAAAGTGAATGAAAACATGAAATTTCATACAAGTGGTGCTGAAACCCGCAGGAAAAATTTAAATGAAAGACCGTGGACAGCAAAGTATTTTTCTCTGAGATTATAAGAAAAGATCAAAATTTTTTTAAAACTGAGTGAACAAAAAATTGTGGGCCCCAAAAATATCAATGTGGGCTTGTAAAACTTGTGAAGTTAGGAGCCCCTAAGGTTTTTAAGTGTTATTTGCAACCCTGTGTGCAGCTTCTTTGACTCAAAAAAGTATGATTAAGTTGACACTTTTATATATGCATTACATTTAAAAAAAATTGTAGGTAACTGAAGAAGTTGAACAGAAAGAAGAAGTTAAACAAGATGACGAAGTTGCACCAGAGAAATCTGAGGAAGTTATATCTGAATCAGAGGCTCAAAAAACTGTAGAGGACTTTGTACAAGAAACCACTGACAAAAATATGACTGAACCAGAAACTCAAGGTACTTTAGAGGAGTATATCTTGGGACAAGATACTGGTGATGAAAGTGAAGCAGTGACAGCAGAAACTGAAGAAGAGCAACAGGAAATGAATACTGAAAGTGAGAACACAGGTGAAGAAGACATCCCAGAAGGAAATGGTGTTGGAGAAGTTGAGTCCCCTGAGGGAGATGGTGTAGACATTGATGATGACCAGATGGAGGAGGCAGTGGATGAAGAGTTAGAGGCAGAAGAAGAAGAGGAGGAGGAAACTGCACAGACATCAGGAACAGCTGAGGAAGCAATGGAAGAGGAGCAGGGGGAGGAGGAGGAGGAGAAGGAAGATGATGAACCGGAACAGAGTAATCAAAAGAACATCAAATCAGCAGTGAAAACTTACCCAAAACGGAGAGGAAAGGCAGATGAAAATGACGAAGAAGAAGAACCAAGCCCAGAGGAAATGACAAAGGAAACAGAGCCAGTAGGCAAAGGACGGGGTAGAAAATCTGCAGCTAAAGAATCTGATATAGATAGTTCTATATCAGAAACACCAGAACCTAAGACAAGAGGGCGTGGTAGGCCACCAAAGGGAGGCAAACCTACTCCTAGTCCAGCAGTAAGTGATTCTGAACCTAAGAAGAGGGGTCGTCGATCATCTTTAAAAGAAACAGCTGCAGAAGAAAGCATAGAGAAAGTAACACCATCTAAGGGTAGAGGAAGACCTAAGAAAAATGAGGCAGAGGAGGAAGGAACACCAGAAGTAAAGTCTGCAAAGCGTGGTAGAGGAAGACCCAAGAAACAAGTTCAGGAAGAAGAGGAGGAAGGAGAGGAGGAGGAAGAAGAAATGAAGGAAGAGGAAGAAGAGGTTGAAGAAGAAGAGGAAGAACCAGTTAAAAAAGGCAGAGGAAGACCTGCTAAAAAAGGGAGAGGACGTCCAAAAAAACAAGCAAAAGAGACTGTGGAAGATGAGGAAGAGGAGGGGGAGGAAGAAGTAGAACCAGAGGAGCCAAAATCTGCAAAGCGAGGAAGGGGTAGACCCAAAAAGCAAGCTGAGAGTGAAGTAGAGACTACTCCAAGAATAACAAGAAAAACAATTAAAGAGGAACCATCAACTCCTAGCAGTGAAACTAAGAAGAGAGGAAAGGGTAAAAAGAATCAGAGTACAGAAAAAGATGAAGATTTGGAAATGGAAGTGGATGATGTTCCTATTGAACTTAGTGAAAATGAGGAAGAAGAGGAAGAAAATGTTGAAATCAAGAAAAAGCGTGGCAGACCATCAAAATCTGGAGAAAAGACCCCAAAAGGGAGAGGAAGACCAAAAAAAGGGGATTCTGAGGAAAAAATTCCTAAAAGAACTCCTACTGCAACAGCTACATTATCAAAGAAACGTAGCAGAGGAGATGAGGACACTGAATCTCAAGACTCTACAACTGATGATGCGCCCACCCCTGCAAAAAAACAAAGGGGGCAGACAAATGATGCTGCCACATCTGATGCTTCCACTGGACCCAGTGTTGGTACAATAAAGTATGAACAATCTGAAGCAGGACCATCATCCAAAGGTCATACTTTGTTGAAGGAACCTGCACAAGGTTCAATGCATACAGGAGACGTCTATGACTTTGATCAAATAGACATTGACAATATCATGACAGCTCAGCCTGGAACTTCAAAAGATGTGTCCCAAGGCACACAAACCAATTTTGTGGAAGTAGAATTGATTGAGGAATCTCCAGGAAAACGATCTGTCTTGACACAGACAGATCCTAGATTGAAGAAAAAGAAGTTTGGTCCCATTGGACAAGACATGGAGACAAGTATGGAGGATGATTTTGACTCCCCAAAGAAGAAGAGGGGTAAAAGGGAAGAAGATGTAGGATTGTTTGAGGAGATGGAGAACAAGAGGAGAGGTATTAGAAATACAGAGGAAGCTTTGAATTGCCCTTTTTGTGACAAAGCTTTCATTGGATTGGTAAAACATATAAAAGGGAAGCACAAAGATGAAACTGATTATGAGGAGGAGATGAGGAATGCCAAGTGGAGAGAGAAGATTATGAGGGTTTCAGTACAGGGCAATGTAGAAGAAGGGGAACAATGCCCAGAATGTGGAAAAGTAGCCAAGAATATCAAGAGGCACATGGAGCTCCATCAGCAAAACAGAATGCAAATTCCTTGTCCAATCTGTGGAAAGGTGGTGCTAAAAACAGGAATGAGTTCCCACATGAGAACAGTGCATTCTGGACGCAAACCTTACAAATGCCCTCACTGTGATTATGCCTCTGCATTCAGAGGTAATCTGAATACGCACATGAAGGGAATGCATCTGCATACTAGGCAATATCTCTGCAATACATGTAAAGCTGCTTTCAAGACACTTGGAGCCCTGATTGGCCATACGAAGAGAGTTCATGAAGGATGGAAATCACCCAATCAGAAGATTTTTATCTGCTCTGTATGCGAGAAGCGATTCACCAAGAAATACCATGTGGATCGTCACATGCTGATCCATACAGGAGAAAAGCCACACAAATGTGGAGACTGTGGAAGATGCTTCAATAACAAATCAAATCTTATGTCCCATATTCAGTTGGTCCACAAGAAACTGTCACCTTACCAGTGTGACATGTGCCACGAAACATTTAAAAGAAAGAAAATGCTTCTGGAGCACATAGGCCGTATTCATGTCACTGCAGGTGAGGCAGCACAAGCTATCATCAGGAAGTTTGAACTAACTGAAGAAGTAGAGGAGGATGAAATGATGCCTGATGATGAATCTGATGAAGATGAACAAGGAGCTGAGGTAAGTTGAAATGAAAATTTAGGATTTCTTTCAGTAGTTCTGGCTGATTTGTCTGTCATTAAATTTAATCAAAGTTATTAAGTGTGAATTATGTGTATACATGTATTAACGCACTACATGTACTTGAAAAATCGATCAATAAATCATACTTAATATTCCCTACAGGGACAAATGGAAGATGGACAGACCTATGTGACAGTGGCTGGAGCAGAAGGAGACTACCATACAGCTGTTGTCAGTGACCCGACTCAGATCCTCTCGGGACAAGCATTGACCACTCTGCAGAGTGATTCAGGACAGGAGACCATCATCATAGTACAGAGTGCAGATGGGAGTGAGAATGCCACCCATGCTATTGTTGACCAGGATGGAACTGTCCAGTACATCATGCAGCAGCCAGATCAAGCACAATCAGCTGGAGCAGATCCGGTGTATTCCGAGATCCAGCAGTAGGCTACAAAGATTAACTGCTTGGTGAAAGCTTCTACATTAGTATCATCTGGAGAAAATTGACTCTCTTAACTACTTATGCATTGTAGAATTTTATTAGGAAATGTTAGGAATGAGGTTTTTGAAGAAAGTGAACATTGGTCTTGTAATTAAAGTTCTGAATTTTGTGCATCTGGATTATGTAATGAGAAGGATGTTTGGTCAATTTTATGAAAGGAAGGAATTTTTTGATGTATCTGTCACTTTGAGATAAAAAAAAAAATGTGCATAATACCGTGATTGATGTTGTACAACCATTACTATGTAGTGTTACAATACTGAGTCTCATAATATTATGATCATGTCCAAAATTTGTTAGTGTTTTTGTTTTGCATGAATTAACATGATGAATATCATGATTGTTACAGTAAGCATGCTCTGTTAGACTGTATACAATTGTACTGCAGTACTTGCTGTGTTATGCTGTTCAATAAGCATGCTTGGATGACACATTTTTATAGTAGCTATCGTAGCTGTGATCTGCAACATATGTCCATGTGCTTTATATACTCTTTATAAAAATGTGTGGTTCCTAATTAACTTCATTTATTCACAGTGGCTTGACATGATCCTAGTGTAAGTAGATGCATTATGTATGGTCACTGTTGTTTTCATTGCATACACTTGTTTTATTTGCCATCACCATCCTTGTGTTGTTTGTAGGCTTGTAGTTCAGTGATATGGATCTGGTCCTTGCCCTTCTAGAGAATTGATTCTGAAGCTGCATTAAATTAGCTTTGTTTCATTGTTATGTTCATGTACTGTAGATTGATCTTACAAATGTACAGTATCAGTGGTAGAAAGTTACACGTATCTTGCTTTGAATGTGCTAAAATTTCACGTAACAGACATTCCTTTTGTTGGTGATTTTTTTTCATTTCATTGTATGAAGAGATGAAAGCTCTAAGAGTATCAGAAATTAATAGTGACACTCCTTTAATAAGGTGGAATGCATACACATGTACCTATTGTAATTGTAAAAATAATTACATTTTTTAAAAAAGAAAAACTTCAGAATATATATATATATATATATATATATATATATATATATATATATATATATATATATATATATATATATATATATATGTCTCATTCTACACAAATCTGGTACATGTAATGTTTGAAACATTTTGACCGCAGTGCATTCATTATGTTATTTTGATGCAGAGTGAATTAGTACTGGTATTCATTTACTGTGCTTGCAGAATTAAGGTTGTAAATAATGTTTATAGAAGAAGAGATTTTAATTGAATGTAGATTATAAACATGTACACTGATCAAATTTGTAAACATTTTCATTATAGCATGTAATAAATATAAATGATATAACATGGTCTTCCAGTGTTCTGCCAGGTGGCATACTTTTTATACGCCTGTCTTAAAACAGGACATATTACATGTATGTTGTTCATCTCCATCCATCTGTTACATGTAGCTTTTAGTGTCCAGCTCAAAACTTTAATAGTATGAGACCTAGAACTACCAAACTTGGTCATTTATTGTACATTTATAGGTAGGTATGTCTTATCCTTAGAGGTCACTGTGACCTTTAATTCAGGTATATTTTTTAACAAAAAACTAAGTTTTTTTTAAACAGTCCCAACAGATGTAAGAGTATCGCATTAACCTTATGAAAAAATGTTATTTCAAGAAAATACACTCTTTTTATCATGATATTCTTTACAGCAATCTATAACAATGTCTTTTATGTCAATAATGAGAGAAAATCCATGCACTTCTCCCATGAATGTAGTCATCAAGCAGTGGTCAAGGTAAAGTTTGATACATGTAACTGATGAAAAATGCTTGTCAAATCAGAGACTAATTTTAAATAATTTTAGTGAAAGGAGATTTCTAGTAGAGCATCTTTGATCAAGCAGGTGTTATCTATATCTCTTGAGAAAATGGGCAGATAAAATCTGCCTTTGATAGTTCGTGTCAGATTAAAAGTTCTTGTTGACTAGCCATTACTTTCAAAATGAAGATGGGCAACAAGGCGAGCAAAATGCCAATAGAGCTATGAACGTGAAAAATTAAATCTTAATTATAACAAAATTTTCTTTGATATTTCATTTAACATTAAAGTATACTTTAATTTAAAATTTCCAAAATTTGCTAAAATCTCACAAAGATTGAAATTATTTGCCTATGAAAAAGCATACACGCACTGAAGAGGGCAAAATGGACCATTTTCTCAAGCTATAATACAATTTTCGATATGAGTGGGTCTTTGTTCCATTTTTTGAAAGTGTATCCTCGAAGTTTGCGTAAAAAAAATAATTTTTTTAGTTAATAAAAACACGGAGCAATACCCACTATACCTTAAAAATACACTTTTATGATACAACATTCGCATATTTCTGAGAAATACTTGAAAGTCTAATTAATCAACAGTCATATCACAAACATGAGTTAAGTGCCAATATTCGCAGGAGATGTGAAGCGTAGTGGTTAGCGCGTTAGACTCGAAGGAAAATGATACCTACACCACAGGAGATGCACATCAATCACCAGAAATGGAAAATTCTTTGAAATCTTTGTATCAAGCTGAAGGTTGACATGATTTTCTTACTTGCACTGTTAACTGTTTATGATAATTGAACTTGACGGGCGTATCATACGCTCTGGCAATAATTTAATTAATGTTTGCAAGCAATAATTTAATTGAAGACAAATAATTCAATAATACGTATAAATTCAATTATTCAATCAATGTTGATAACAGGCTTTTTCGAATTCGAAGAGAGCAACAATTCCATTAATATGCGCGCATTAATTCTGCAAACTATTGAATAAGCTCTAATTGAATAAATGCGCGCAATAATTCAGAATCTGTGGAAATCTTTCTTAAGATATTGAGTTATGATATGAAATTTCACTGAAAAAGTTCAAAGAAAACTTGAGATATCATCTTGGAAATCATATTTTGCAATGTGTGAATTTCTGACCTTTGAACTTTTGACTTCAAAATCAATATGATTCTCCTATTATAGGCAATAGGGAGCTGTGATATAAAGGATAGCTGCACTTAAGGACATGCGAAATTTGCGACAAAAGAAACTTTCAAAACGAGCATTTTCCTTTTCATTGCAAGAATGGTCAATATCCAATCCACAACTTTATGTAATTACATTTAATAAAAGTGTGTATTTACGAAGTTTTCAAAGGCAGGGGTCATCACAATTAATTTCTTGAATCTCCGTTCGATAATGAGGACGCCCACTTTTTTACTGAATTTATATATACATACTAGTATATGAAAGATTGAAAAAGAGAGAAATCTCGTGTTTGACTGATGAGTGTAAATTTTGAGAGTGATGCAGATAAGCACCAGGAAGATTAAACAGAATATATTCTGAATGTCTGACGTCATAGAGTCAGACAGTACTAGATTTAGCCAAGGCTTGTTGATCAAGTCGTTCAATAGAATACTTGTGATAACTTGATCTTGGAAACTTCATACTATCTTCATTATCAACTGGAAAGCATGAGGAGTAAAGGAAACAAGCTAAACACCCAAACAAGCCAGAGCATTGGAGCTGTTGTCATTATTATCACATTATACATTACAAGTTACATAATATTTGGCCATTCTCAAATGCACCATTCATGTCCAGCATAACAGAAGGAATGAAGCTGGTCAGGTCAAACACTTGTCGATTATCTTTATCAGAGGGATGGGTATCGCCAAAAATTTCGTATCGCGATATATCACGATTTCCCCCCAAGATATCACGATAATATCATGATATTTTTACAAGCAATTTTTACAATAATTTTAAATGAATATTCATAATTTTTCCGAAAAATATGCTGGAAAAACATAACTTCACTTTTTTCATTTTTTTATTGACATAATATCAAGCAATTTTGGATGCTAGAATGCCTTTCTTTTACCCCTTTCAACATTTTTTACACTTCCTGTAATTATAATTTGAAAGATTAAACAAATAAATGAATAATTTTCTGGAATTTAAAACTATGTACCTAAATACCGGTATTTTAGTCTCCGTATCACGATACGTATCACGCAATTAAAAATCACGATATACCGGTATACCGATAAAATCGCGCATCCCTATTAACTAATGGATGTTTATTTTCAATGCATACTAAGTCTCTCTACCTTTAGAATTTTTATATATCTACACATATTCATAACTTGCAGACATTTGGTTTATTTATAGTTTAATAAATAAATATCAAAGTAAAGTATACAATGTATATATTGTTGAATATTCTTTTGCTTAAATGCAAAGATGTTAGCTCATTTGTAACACGTTTATTATTTAAAAAAAAAAAATTAATTATCAAAATTGTTCACTAATTGATGTTAAGATTTTTATGAGTTGTAACTTTCTTTCAAAAGCACTGGTTATATCTTTGTATTCATCAACAGGCCCAGTGGAAGAAATTGAAATTTACAGTTTTCTTTGGACATAGGCTATCAAGGAAAAATTCCTTATACATCCTTATACATTCCTTATATTCCTCGTAGAGCATAAAAACGTAATCAGAAATTAATATTTACATTAGCGGACACAAGCATAAAACAGGTACATGCATGTATAAATCGGCAAAATCCCCCCTCCTTCCCCGGTTCCTACGTCCATGAAAAAAAAAAAAGAAATTACAAGTAATGTAGTGTACATAAAGAATAAATTCACCTCCAACTTTTATTTTATGTTGATGCCACATTGAACTTTTGTTTTTTTAGCAAAAGAATTCATTTCATGACTCAGAGTCATGTTGATAACACTGGATTTATTTTTTTTCTTGATTCTTCCCTTAAAAATGAATTTGCTCAAGTCAGAAAAGCTTTTAAGGAAAGCTAATACTTGTAACAGTACTTAGAGCTAAGTTCTCATCATATTATTAGACAAAACACTGAAAAAAATATAAACTTTCCTGTTTGACTGATGAGTGAATATTTTGAGACTCAAAGACGCTTGTCAACACTGCTTAGCAGTACTTTTTTAGTGAGATAAGCTCACACTAAGTCCCTTACACGCGACATTACCCGTAACCGTTATTTACTCTGACTTTAACACATGGTCATTTGTGAATGTCTCTCCAACGTCTTATATATAGTATACAAGCCTGTTACTCGTTAGCATTGCTTAAACATTTACATAATATAAAGCAGAAATCAATGATCGTTTTATCTACGTTGTTCAAAGGGACATTATTTGAGTTATCGAACTTTGAAACAAAACTTACATTATGCAAATTTCCAAATAAACATTCAATCACAAGGACAAATTGTATATAAAAGCTGTCTTTGGAGGGTGGATGGTGGGGAATATTTCTAATACATTGACAAGTAAAATAATTGTGCTTGTTTAAATACAAGTAGAATTGCATCATACTGCACTCTTTACTGCACTCTGCTGCAATACAATGCCATGCCTGCCAAATTGTCCAATCAAAATTAAATTAGTCATTTTTTTCTTAATTGAATTGAAAAACTGATTGAAAACACACACTTTCTTTAATTTTATGCTTTGAAAGAAAGGTTTCAAAACCAGACTAGAGAGCATTTCTTTTATTCTCATATTCTCAAATATTTGTTTCCTTTGATATGAATCAAAATTAACAATCAGTAGTTAAGTCGAAGGACTTTCGCAAGGTTACGTGTTACTGGTTATTTTTTTATCGAATGACTTATTTGAGTATGCGTAAAAGATCCAAAAGAAATGAACACTCCTTTATGACTGATGAGTGGAATTTTTTGTTTGCAAGAGAATTTATACTGTTGACCATAATAAGAATTTAACTGCATTTTTTTGCACTGCACTACAATGCAATGTCATTCAGTAAAATGAAGTTTCAATTTTTGTTTTACATTATGGTATTGAAAATAAGGTGTAAATTAACATATTTTCTAATATATTTTTATTTCTATAAAAAGTTTTGAAAAACAGACTGGATGGAATATTTTCATTCACATTTTCTTTTAAGATTGTTCTCTTTCATAGGAATCTAAATTAACAATGCAGTAATAAT